CTTTGCCTCATTTTTTGCTCACATTTTGTAGACACACACACAAGTGGCTTTAAATCCTTTCTTGAACAAAGTGAGGACATAAACCAACAAATTCACTAAATAACATAATTACAGCCAGTTCAAGTCATGAAAATCCAACATCATAGAGTTATATTAAAATAACATACAGCCAAAAAGAATATCTACACATGCAGCGTGTGCTTGAAGGATAAACCAGAAACTGGTAATAGTGATTGCTTCTGGGAGGAAACTTGGGTGGCTGGGGAACAGGTATGGAAGGAGGGCTTTTACTATGTATTCCTTTTTACCACTCGAATCTTGTGCCATTTAAATATCTATTAGAAACTAAAGAAAACATAAATAGTCCCAATCTGGGAAAAAAAACACAACAAATCTGTCACTAGTTCACTAGTTGTAGGCTGCCTTCTGCCCCATTTCTCACCCAGACAATCCATTAGAATGCCAGACTATAGTGACAGCGTATTCATATAAAAGTGGAAAGTCACTGAAGGAAGTCCTGGAGAAGATACAATAAGCAAGACTTGATGATGGGCAGAAAGAGGGGTAGAACAGAAAGACAATCTGAAGCGAGCCTTCACGTGTGCTCTCAGGAGGGTGTTTACATGTGTTCAGTCTCGGCTCCATCGTCTGTAATATAGTAATAATGACAGCATTTGCATTATAGGGTAGTAGTGGGAGTTATGGATGCTAGATGCTGGCTACTAAAAGGTCAACAAGACTGTACCTGATAAGGAAAGTGACACACAGAAAGGCTAAGTAACCTCAAAGAGATTCCAATCTGGCATGGAGGAGACAGATAAGTGAACAGGCAATCTCAGCAGGCTGTAATAAATCCCTCAGAGGAAGCACTGGGTGTGCCACGGACGTGTGGGAGGCGCCCTATCTTAGCCTGGGTTCCCTAGGAAGAAAGCCGGAGGTGGGTTCTTGAGTCAGCGAGTGACTGAGGAATATCCTCAGGTGAAGTCTGTGAGGGAGCGAGGGGAGAATGGGGCGGGGAAGAAGTGAGAAAAAGATATTTGTTTAGCTCAGGAGTTGGTACATTTTGGCCTTCAGACCCAAGCTCTATTTCTATAAAAAAGAGTATTATGGGAACACAGCTATAGTTCTATTGAAATAAGTCACATTCATTTAATCGATATATTATCTATGGCTACTTTTGCACCATGAAGGCAGAGTTGAGTGACTGCAAGAGACCATACGGTCCACAAAGCCTAAAATACAGACTGGTTCTTTTCAGGAAGTTTGCCTCAGCCTGATCCCGCCGGGAGCTCTAGAGCACCAATGGGATCACAGAGTTGGCCCACGTGTAGGCGAGGCATTTGGCCCGCCTCAAGACCTGGGTTTGGAAGGGAACTTGGGGTTCAGGACACATCCAGCCTGGGAACATAAATTTGGTAGTAGTCAGAATAAGGATTTTTTTTTTTTCTTTTTAGATAGAGTCTTGTTCTGTTGCCCAGGCTGGAGTGCAATGGCGCAATCTCGGCTCACTGCAACCTCCGCCTCCAGGGTTCAAGTGGTTCTCCTGCCTCAGCCTCCCGAGTAGCTGGGATTACAGACCTGCGCCACCACGCCTGGCTAATTTTTGTATTTTTAGTAGACGGGGTTTCGCCATGTTGGCCAGGCTGGTCTTGAACTCCTGATATTGTGATCCGCCTGCCTCAGCCTCCCAAAGTGCTGAGATTACAGATGTGAGCCACCGCGTCCAGGACAGACGGTTTTAATGACTAGATAATGACTGTAGAAAGAAGGGATCCTAGAACTGAGACTTGGGGCAATGTTTATAGTTCAGGAAGAAGAAAAGGAAGAGGATCTAGGTAGGGAGACCTAGAAGGAGAAACCTGTGAAATAGGAAAAAATGAACAGCAGGTGGTTTCCTAGAAGCCAAGTAAAGGACATGCATGTTTTAAGGAGGAAATGATCAGCTGTGACAAATGCTGTTAGGGAAGTGGTCAGTTTGGGGGCAGCTCTGGGGCTGTATAGCTGCACCCAGGAGCCCACAAGGAGACTGGGCCTATGGCTGGGGAGAGATGCAGCCCAAATATGTAAATACATACACATGTGCATGTGCGCATACACACACACACACATGCATTCATGCCATGCACATACAGTCACACTGTTTTTTTTGTTTTTTTTGTTTTTTTTTGGAGACAGAGTCTCCTCTAGTCGCCCAGGCTGAAGTGCAGCGGTGCGATCTTGGCTCACGGCAACCTCTGACTCCTGGGTTCAAGTGATTCTCCTGCCTCAGCTTCCTGAGTAGCTGGGACTACAGGCGCCTGCCACCATGCCTGGCTAAGTTTTGTATTTTTAGTAGAGACGGGGTTTCACCATATTGGCGAGACTGGTCTCGAACTCCTAACCTTGTGATCCGCCCACCTTGGGCTCCCAAAGTGCTGGGATTACAGGCATGAGCCACCGTGCCCAGCCCACCGTTGTCTTTATTTGGCACCTGCAGACATTAGAGATTGGAGTCTAAGCTGATGTACAAAGAAGAGGTTTGAGAACATGGAGGTTAATTTTTGACGAGATCAGTTTCAGTGAAATTATATAAGCAAAATATCCTGATTGGAATTAGTTCAAGAGAGGAAAGAAATTGGAGACAGCAAGTACAAACAACATTTTTTAGGAGTTGTGCTGAAAAGTGAAACAGAGAAATGGAGGGGAAGCTGGAGAATGGCACAGAGTCAGGAGAGGGGTTTTAAGATGGAACAAATTGCAGCATGTTTGCATCACACTAGTGGAAAAGATCTACTAGAGAGGGAAAGACTGATGATGCAGGAAGGGACATTCTACTACACATTCTTGAGTTGATGAAAGGATACGGCACTTGCATACTAGACATTCTTTGAGTTGACAAATGGGTATGGCACTTGGAGCAAGAGAGGAGGTTGACCTGTAGGAGTGTGGGCAGTTTGTCCACGGTAACAGGAGACAACGCAGAGCTGGTGTGCACAGATGAAAGTGGTTGGTGGGTATGAAAAATCTCGACGGCTTCTATTTTCCTGTGAAATGGGAAGCAAGACCACCAGCTGAGGAGAATATGGTGGGGGGGGGGAGATGGAGGAGCTTTGAGGAAGAAGACAATGTCAAGTGGTCATTCAGAGGAGTGGCTGGGTGAATGGCTCATTTTTCCATCTCCCATAGCATCTTCATTACCTCAGCAAGTACGTTCTCAGCATCTATTATTTTCCAGGCACTTTGATAAACATCGAACGCTTCTTGAAAGAAGGTGTGACTGTAGAGTACCTTCAAAGACATCTCAAACTTTTTTTTTTTTTTTTTTTTGAGATAGAGTCTCACTCTGTTGCCCTGGCTGGAGTGCAGTGATGGGATCCTAGCTCCCTCTGGCCTTGAATTCCTGGACTCAAGCAATCCTCCCGCCTCAGGCTCTGGAGTAGCCAGGACTACAGATGCATGCCACCATGCTCAGCTAATTTTTGTATTTTTTGTAGAGATGGGGTCTCACTATATTGCCTAGGCTGGTCTTGAATTCCTGGACTCAAGAGATCCTCCTGCCCTGCCTCAACGTCCCAAAGTGTCAGGATCACAAGTGAGAGTCACTATGCCTGTCATTCCAAACATTTTTTAGATTTGGAGCTGAATGCAGCATGGGCAGGTTGTTAGGGTTGAAGCACTGGTGATCCAGATCTGGAAGGAGCCAGAAGCCTCTAAAATTGGCCACTGCAGGAGCCTCCTGACCTGGTTTCTGGGAATCCATCTGTTTCAACGATTTTCCTGAAACACAAATCTGATCCCATCACATCTTTTTTTTTTTTTTTAATTCCTTCAATAAAGATAGTTAAGAACTTGTGGCAAACTGCTTTTAGGGAACAAAACAGGAACACTGGGGTACAGAAATAAGAGATTTACTTTTCATGGATACCCTTGTGTAGTGTTTGGGGAAAAATTATAACAATGTACATAAATTCACTACCCAAAGGAAGGTCAAAACCCTCTCAAAAGTTTCTATGGCTTTCCGCTATCCCTAGGAGAAAGAAAAGCCTTTGCTTTGTCTATAATGCTCTTCACAGTATGGTCCTACCCAACTCTTCAACCTGATCTCATGTTAATCTCGCTTCTTTTGGCCCTCGCGGACTTGCCTAGACCGGCCTTCCAATTCGGCTGTGCCGGCCTCTTTGGTCTTGCACACAGGCTTTTCCTTCTGCCTCACTTTTTAAAAAAATTATTATTACTGTTTATTTTTATTTTTTTGAGACAGAGTCTCGCTGTGTCGCCCAAGCTGGAATGCAGTGGTGCCATTTCAGCTCACTGCAACCTTCGCCTCCCAGGTTCAAGCTATTCTCCTGCCTCCGCCTCCTGAGTAGCTGGGACTACAGGTGCCCGCCACCACGCCCAGCTAATTTTTGTATTTTTGGTAGAGACAGGGTTTCACCATATTGGTGAGGCTGGTCTTGAACTCCTGACCTTGTGATCCACCCGCCTACGCCTCCCAAAATGCTGGGATTGCAGGTGTGAGCCACCGCGCCCGCCTATTATTATTATTTTTATACGAAACGGGGTCTCGCTATGTTACCCAAGCTGGTCTCGAACTTTTGGGCTCAAGCATGCCTCACTTTCTTATCCCCGCCTCTCCCTTTCTCATCTTTGCCAGTCTACTTAGGTCTCTGCTTCAAAGTCACTTTTTCAGGAGGGGGCTTCCCGCCTGAATTCCCAACCCCCACCGGACTTGGTCAGTCCCGAGCTGGGCACTCACTGCCCCAGCACCAGCCATCTCTGCAGCAAGCACCCATGACAACCATGAAGTGTAATGAGCTGCTCAGTGTGCCTCCCTACATCGTTAGTCCGAAAAGAGGGTCCCTCGGTGCCCGGCACAGTGCGTGGCACAGTCGGTGCTTAGGGAGCGATAGCTAGATGAAACCGTAGTTTTCGGGATCCTAGTCCATCCAAAGCAGCCGCCTTCGGGGCAGGTGTGGGGAGGAGGGAGGCCGACGAGGAGCCAGCGCCGCGCGGCTCTCCGCACTTCCGTCTTGGAGGCCAGGGGTGGCGCTGCCGCTGTCCCTCGCCCGGAGGCAGAGATGCGCTGGCGCGTCACGGCCAGCAGCCCACAGTGAAAAACTATTGGATGGAAGGCGACGCCCAGAACTCCAGGAGAACGCTGTGGGAGGACGCGAGGCCAGGCGACTAATAGGCCAGGTGTGAGTCCCCAAACAGCATTCTCCCCTTCAAGAAAGGAAGCTTGGGCCACAGGCTGGGACGGAAGCAGAGGGGCAGACACGCCGCCACTCGCCCGGCCTCGAACCGCCGGCGACTCAGCTCAGCCGAGGCGGCCAGGAGGTCCGCTGGCCCCGCGCCTGCGCACGCCGAGCCCCGCCCCGCCCCGCCCCGCCCCGCGCCCTCCAGGCCCGCCCCGCCCTCCACCTTCTGCGTGCGCACAGCCTATAGCCCGCCTCCGTGAAAGACTGCCGGGCGCATGCGGTCGGGGTTGTTCACTGGCTGTCCGGGGCTCCGCGCGCGTCGCCGGCCCGACTCTGTCGCTGACGGGAGGATCTGAAGCCGGCCGCAGGTAGGCCGACTCCAGGGATCCCAGGGGGAAACTGTTCTCCCGCGCAGGAGTCAGCGGCGCGAGCTGAGCCCGGCGCCGAATAGCCCCGCCGCCGGGGTGACGGACGTCGCTCCTACCAATCAGGGGCGAGGTGACTCGGCGTCCTGCCCAATGGGCTGTGTGCCTAACGGGAGTGGGGCGGGCGCCCCGGCCGGCGAGCTGCTGGCTCCCGCGCGCGGGCCTCGTGGCCGGGCGGTGCTGGGGAGAGGGGCCGAGCGGGGCGCAGGGCGCGGGGTGGCTTCAGAGGTTGCGGTGCTTGGGCCGCCGCGCTGGGCCGCGCCGAATCAGCTCTGCCGGGCTCGTCGGACGGATTAGGCCGTAGGGGCGTGGAGCGCCCCCCCAACCCCGTCCTTGCTCATCGTTTGCGAGGAAGCCCGGCAGCCGCCCATCCATTCAGGCGGTGCGGGCCTCGGGCCTCGGGCTCAGCCGCCTGGGGCTAGGCGGGGCGGCTCCGCACCGTAGGACGAGGGGGCCTGCAAGCTCTCCGGCCCTGGGCCCCGCGGCTGGCCTTTGGGCCCCACGGCTTCCTCCCTTCCCGACGGCCGGGAGTCGGGGCGCTGGCAGTGTATAGAGCTCACCACGTTTGCGTAGCGCCCTTCCGTCCACACTCGTTGCAGTTTCGAATCCTCAGCGGCCCTGTGACGCGGGCGGCGTGGAGATTCTCACCCCCATTTCTTGAGGTGAGAACGCGCCTTGCAGGCAGCTCAAGTGACATGACTGAGGTCTGCACACGAGTGATGGGGGCTGGCACTTCATCTCATAACATTGCAAGAAAAAGCATTTTCCCCCCCTCAATCTTTGTTGAATTTTCGGATGTGTCTTGATATACGTTACTTCTGTGCCGGAAAACCTTCTTGCACCTTCCGTCACCTTCAGAATTAAGTTCAGATTGGGCATGCCAGTTTTTACATGATCTGGCCCTTGCCTACCTTTCCGGTTTGTCTTCCACCATATATCCCTCCCTCCCCGTCTTCTGCTTCTTGGCCTTAACCTCTGTTCTCTGTAGCTGCCCCGCACCTGCCTGTTCACCCTGTTCCCTTTCCTGTGCTCTGAGTCTTGCAGTCAGTCCTTCAAGGCCCATTGCAAGTCATATCTACAAAACAGAAGCCGCCTGGATCCGCCCACTACCCCCAGGACTTCTCTTACCTTCCTCTGATGCCATGGTACTGAAAGCTTCTGCTCTCTTCGTCCCCCTTTATAGTCTAAACATGTTTTCTGTCTGCTTCCACCATCACTGAATTACTCATTTATTTGTTAATGTTTCATCTCTCCAACTGGACTGCCAGAAAGTTGAGATATGGGCCCAAATCTGATTAATGTTTATAGTCCCCAAGCACAGTAGCTGTCATGTAAGTCAGTACCCCATAAGGATGAATGAATGAGCCTCCCGCCTGGTCTTTGTGTACATTGGCGTATTTATTGCCAGGCACTGAGACTGCAAGAATCTAGAGAGAGAATCTAAAGAACGTAAAGAGAGATGTTACCCTCTTAGAGTAAAATTGGGACAAATCAAATGTAATTGGATAAGATGAATCTTTTGTAGAAGTAACTCACTCAGAGTGGCAGAGGAATTTCTGGGATCATCCAAAACTTAGGGAGACCAGGGTATAGTCTCAGTAAGAGATATGTCTGGTTAGAACATACGTAAAATGTACCTAAATCTGATTTTCATGTGTCAATAAGGAACTGTAAAGTGAGAGACTTAGGGTCAGATAAGCTTGGAGACACCGCATACTGTATAGCAGTGATGATAGTGCGAGTTTACTTACTAAACACTCCCAGGATTCTTGCGTTAAATGACTTGGTTTAATCAGCATTTCTCTGATGTATATCCATAAAACCCTTTTTGAGAATCCCATATGCATTTTGTTGAAAGCAGGGAGCATGCTTTTGGAAATGCTGCAGCAGAGGATGGAAAGAGCCTTTGGAGCCGGGAAGACTTCTGAGCATTCTTCCTTCCCTGCCAAGTGTGTGCTTTCCTGCTCTGGGGAGGGGGTGGGGCGGGGGAATGCTTCAAGCACAACTCCCTACTTTTCTTGTTCCTTAGTTTATTTTTATCATAATTTTGCTTCACATGGAACGTTCCTGAGGAGGAAAATGTCCTGACCATGCCAAAGTAAGCATTTTCTGCTACTTTCCTATTGTGTTTTTCATTTTGGTCACATTTGGGTTTGCTGACCAAATGGACGATTCTGGACCTCTGAAGCTGGGGACCAGTGATAAATCCTCCGTGATGAGCCTGTCACAGTCTCCTCACCTCTTGTCAATGCTGTTTTCACCTGCGTCTTGACTCTGCTGCCCTTACATCTTCTTTTATCTCTCCTTTCCCTGCCACTGTGGCACACTCTTGGGATTTAATCTCATCTCCCCTCTCTTTGAGTCCTCCGCCCATCATGTGCTTCAGACTCGTTTCTTATCTGATGTCCCTCTCCCCCAGTATTTACAGTCTTTCTTCATTGCATGCCTGGGAGAGATTTCTGACAAGGATCAAGTTATTGTTAAATTATAGAAGAGAACTACTTTTTTTTTTGAGGTAGTCTTATTCTGTCGTGCACACTGGAGTGCAGTGGCGTGATTCCAGCTCACTGCAACCTCTGCCTCCTGGGTTCAAGCGATTCTCCTGCCTCAGCCTCCTGAGTAGCTGGGACTACAGGCGTGCGCCATCACAGCCGGCTAATTTTTGTATTTTTGGTAGAGATGGGGTTTCCCCATATTGGCCAGGCTGGTCTCAAACTCCTGACCTCAAGTGATCCTCCTGCCTCTGCCTCCCAGAGTGCTGGGATTACAGGCATGAGCCACCGTGCCCAGCCAGGGAACTCCTTTTAATTATAGGAATTTTGGTTTAACTGCAACCACTTTTCAGTGTTGATGTTCTTTCCTTTTAGTCTATCTTTTATAACCTAGAGGAGCTTTGTTTTCTTGATGATACATTGTAGTTTAGCCAAAGACATTATTTATTTCCTGGAGAACTGGAGTGCTTATCCAAGTTTGAATTTTTTTCCCATGTAGGGAAAACAATGAGGCACCTGCCTGGTATCTCAGTGTCTGGCAGGGATGTCAGCAGACATGTGGGTTGTAGTGTTATATCAACCAGCTTAGAGCTGGTTTTATTAGGTTGACTCTGAAGGTTATTAGTTGTCAAAGCTTTAAACAAAAAACTATGTTATTAGAGTAGCAGTTGTTTTTCTACACATATTTGACTAAAGCCATTCAGTGATCCAAGAGATGTTTGTTACGATCCTATTTAAACTTGAAGACAACCTTTTGAAGTCCTGTGACAGAGAAACTAAGGCTTCAAGATGGTTCATAGCTAATAATTGGCAGAGCCAGTATTTGAACCCAGATGAGTTTGGTTTGTTGAGATATATTTATTTCATCTGTAATTTTTCTCTTTTCCAGGTCAAAGAGTAAAATGAAGTATATTCTGGTTACTGGTGGTGTTATATCAGGAATTGGAAAAGGAATCATTGCCAGCAGTGTGGGCACAATACTCAAGTCATGTGGTTTACATGTAACTTCAATCAAAATTGACCCCTACATTAACATTGATGCAGGAACATTCTCTCCTTATGAGCATGGTAAGCACAGTGGATTTCTTCATAATAATTGCATGTGGAAGATGTCAGCACTTGGGAATTATGTGCAGTTTGCATAACTTTTATTTTCTGCCTTCTAACAGGTCCCTTAATATAGCAGAATGATACTTTTTTCACCTAGACAGGAAGAATTCTGTTTTTTTTTTTTTTTTTTTTTTTTGAGACAGGATCCCATTCTGTCCCTCAGGCTGGAGTGTAGTGGTGTGATCATGGCTCGCTGTGGCTTCCACCTCCTTAGCTGAAGCGATCCTCTCACCTCAGCCTCCTGAGTAGCTAGGACTACAGGTGTAAATCACCAGGCCTGGCTAATTTCTAAATGTTTTGTAGAGGTAGGGTTCCACTATGTTGCCCAGGCTGGTCTTGGGTCCTCCCACTGTAATCCCAAAGTGCTGGGTATTACACGTGTGAGCCACCATGCCCGATTGCATTTTACTTCTTTGTTGTTATTGAGAACCTATCAACTGTGTGACATGCGACTGTGGCTGTTACTTCAAAGATTAATTGCTTAAAACTGGGAGAGATGTTAAAACATAGCTCTTGTTTTAAAATTCTGCATTCATACTCCTACTCTCTAGCGTTGAGGTGAAAATCTACAAGCATTAAGTGTCACTAGTGCAGAAATCCTCATGTAACAAATAGCAGCAGGAAAAGATCCGTACACTTGAGTGATATTTAATACAGAATTCTTGAGCAGAGGATGAGTTATCTCTCTGAGGGAGAAAATGAGACATTTTTTTCCTTTCCTGTGTTTGAGCTTGTCTCCTATTGTAGTGGTAGGAATGAATCATTCTGGGCAAAATTTCTAGAGTGAAGTTTCATGGAATGAATGTGCAACAAAGGAATGGGGGAAATGTGTGCAGTTTCACAAATTTGTTTAGAACAAAAGCAGAGCTCAAAAGCTGATTTTTGTAATCAGCACAAACTTAATATGCATATATCCAGGCTTTGAATCAAATATTTTTATCACACTTTAAACCATATTATGCTTAATTAGGAGACTTCTCTGAAGGCTCTTTTTTCCCTAGGCAGCAGATGCTATATACTACTGTAGGGTCCTGTATACGCACAGCCCGTCATTCCCTCCCATCCCTTGCCATTTTATAACTCTTCTTAAGAATGAGTTTGTTGACAGACTAGAAGTATGAAGTTACCTTTTAGAGAATATCTGGTAATTTTTCTTTTTGTGTGTCATGTTTAGTTTTCTAGAAGTGAATTTCTGTGCTTCCTATCATGTAATTGCACACGTTGTTATGAGTGTTTTATTTCAGAATTGCAGTTGTGCCACGGTATAGGTATTTTTCACTTAACCTAAATGGTTTCTCTGTTCACTGCAGGTGAGGTTTTTGTGCTGGATGATGGGGGGGAAGTAGACCTTGACCTGGGTAACTATGAGCGTTTCCTTGACATCCGCCTCACCAAGGACAATAATCTGACCACTGGAAAGATATACCAGTATGTCATTAACAAGGAACGGAAAGGAGATTACTTGGGGAAAACTGTCCAAGGTAATACTGGATTTACCTTTAGAGCTTAAAAGTCTTAACCAGTTTAATTTCTTCCCCCCTCCCACCTCTACACAGATGTATAATTCCCTTTTGAGTAGAAAAGTTTACATCGTATGTGATTTCAGCATGAAACTCACAAGGTATTGTTACTGAAATATGCCTTCAGTTGAAAAATCAGAATTATATTGTTGTTTGCTAAAAAAAGAATTTGAAGAACCACTTCTTCATTGAAGCTTGTCAGTCCTGCCAAGGCAGCATGATATGAGTCCAGAGAACTGTTGTTTTTACACAGTAATGAGTGTGAAAGTGGTAAAGGCAACTCGATTAGGGCATTAAGCCAGATGGCATGTATGTGTGCATCTGGGACTTACTATGTATAGAAGTGAGAAGGAAATGAGCATCCATTGTGTATACTGGTTTCCAGGCCGTCAATGCCATATGGCCTAGGAGGAGCCTGAGAAGTGGGTTTCTGGGTCCTCCCAAGCTTTCACTGGCACAGCTTCGCTTACATCTATTTGCTGTTTCGGGGTTTTGTACAAGCATTCATTTAAGGAAAATGTTTTGCTGCTTTAAAAAGGTGGGGATGGAAAACTACTGATCTAGTATAATGGCAGTGGCCCAAATTTGGAGGGGTTGCTGAAAAGTGGCTTTAATCTGAGTTATGAGAGCAAATCTGCTTTTGGCTTTAGACTTTACTGGCCTGAAAGCTGAGGGTCACACTGACAGCTGGCTCTGGTCTGGGGCTGCCCTGGCGAGATTCTGGGCTAATTGGGTCATATTTGGATCTTAGCTTCCCCTCTCACTAGCTTTGTGAACATGGGCAAATTAACCTCTTTGAAATGTGGATTCCTTTTCTGTAAAATGGAGACAGTAACAACACCTACCTCTCTGGGTTGTTAGGAGGATTAAAGGAAGTAAAAGTCAATGAAGTGTTCCCTGACTTCCTGACACATAGAAAGGAATCGGGAATTAGAATGGTTTTGATTATACAGTTTGCTGTTTGTTTATTCATCATCCATCAAATTTGCATTGAATGCTCACTGCAGTCAGACGCTCACTGGTGCTGGTAATGCATGTGATGAGCAAGACCAGAGAGGTCATTGCCCACACGGAGGTTACCTGTGGGGGAGGCAAACAACAAACATACAACAAAACGAGACGTCTGTCAGAAGCAGTGAAGAATCCAAGTGGGGTGATGACAGAAAGAATGACTGGGAAAAGCCACTTTGGGCAGGTGGTTGGGGAGCCTCCCAAGAGAGGCCATTTGAGCTGAGAGGCCAGTCACAGGGAGAGTGGAATGAGAAGTGTGGAGGCGCAGGGCTACGAAGGCTTGGTTGGTCCAGGAATGGAGGGGAGGCCGGCATGGCTGAGGCAAAGTGACCGAGGGGGATGGTCAGAGAGCGGGGGTGGTAGCCACAGCCAGGTTCTACCCAGTCTCGGCTGCAGCAAGAAGCTCGGAGTGTACTCAGAGAAGTGGGAAGCCACCGAAAAGTTGAAGCGTGGGAGTGATGAATTCTGACTTGAATTTTAAAAGATCACTTTGACACCATGTGTGGAGTAGATAATGCATATTCTCCTGCGTGAGGCAAATGAATATCCTTGTGCATGAGGCATTGCTGTAACTGGAGTGACCTGGAGTTAAACAGTAATCTTCACCTTTTAGGAACTTGCAGTCTGTGCCCAGCAACTATGATTTTTGAAGTGTTGAGCAATTGCTGGCATTCTTTGAGCACTGACATGGCAGGTGCTCTACCGAGCATTTTACAGGTGCTGTCTCACAAAATTTCCACAACTTAACATGTTGTTAAGCTTAAAATGGTTAAAACAAGCTTAAAATGGTTCTATAATTGACCCAAAGATCCACAACTAACGAGTCATGGGACTGAGGTTTGAATCCAGACATTCTGACCCCGGGTGCTGTGCTCCTAACGACTCTGCTGTGCTGTGCTGGCTCACTGCAGTAGATTGTTTACTCTTTGGTAAACTGGAAACATATGGAACAGGGTCCTAGAAGTCTCTTGTTCCTGGAAATGCACTGAAGTGTAGTGTGCCCACCTTCATCTGTGAGCAATAGGGTTGGCCATACTGATGTGTGACTCTGCACAGGGGCATATGTGCCCGTGTGGCTCAGGACACTACTCTCAGCCTTGCTCTGTTGCAGGGCTTCCAGCAACAACTTGGACATCTGGCTGCAGGAAGTGTGAGCTCAGAGATTTGTTGAGACCAGTTAAAGGGGGCCTCAAAAGTATTTTTATGACCCTATTGCTACTGTCTCCAGGCAGAGAGTGCCGCAGTTTGTTTTCACAGTCAGTGCATTTGTCTCGATCAATGTAGATGGACAAGCGTAAGTTCCCTGTTTGTTTTCTCTTTCCCAGTTGTCCCTCATATCACAGATGCAATCCAGGAGTGGGTAATGAGACAGGCGCTAATACCTGTAGATGAAGATGGCCTGGAACCTCAAGTGTGTGTTATTGAGGTTTGTATGATTCTTGCACATGTGAACAAGTGTACTCATCTCCTTAGTCAGCCATCAACAACTGATAAGACATTTCCCAGTGGAGCCCTTGGCCTTCCTATCTGTGTTGGTGCAGTATGTTGCAATGTGGCAGGTAAGGGCATAGTAACAGTCATGTGGAATGGCCATGCAAAGGAAAACCGTACTTTGCCCAAAGAGTGCTCCTTTTTTTTTTCTTTTTCTTTTTTTCTTTTTTTTTTTTTTTTTTAGCATCTATAGATTTACTTAGTACTGACTATTCCCATGAGTAGTGTGACACATTTTCATCTGTTTCTTAAGCAAGTCAGCAGATCTTTTGCTTTCTTCTGGCAAGAGCATTCATCTCCAAATGAGCTTCATTTGGTTTCAGTATCTGTACTCCTGCTGTGCTGATCCTAGCTGTTAGATCTCAGTGTTCCTCAGATAACAGGAGACTCAGAAGTTCCAGCAGTTTGTTTATAACCAATGCTTTTTTTTTTTTTTTTTGAGACAGGGTCTCACTGTCACCCAGGCTGGAGTCCAGTGGAGCAGTCATGGCTCACTGCAACCTTGACCTCCTGGGCTCACGTAGTTCTCCTACCTTAGCCTCCCGAGTTGCTGGAACTACAGTGTGCACCACCATGCGCGGCTAGTTTTTGTACTTTTTTGGGAGAGGCAGGGTTTCACCATTTTGCCAATGGCTTTTGAGCTCAAGCCATCTGCCTGCCTTGGCCTCCCAAAGTGCTAGGATTACAGATGTGAGCCACTGTGCCCAGCCAACTGATGCTTTTCAGTATAAAAATTATTTATGGTTAACTAAGGAGATAAGATTTAGGTTTTTTTTTTTTTTGCTTTGTCACTGCGATACAGATAACCTTCCTGACACCTCTCTCAGCTGACCTTTTTCTTGAAATGATGTGGAAAGTTCCACAATAACCTTTGGGAACGATGAGCCTGTCCAAAAGAGTAACCTTTTAGTACAAAGAGATGTCTAATTCTTGTTAACTAACATTATACAGGGTTAGAGAGTCCACGTTACATAATTACGCATCACTGAATCAGGAAGACAGACAGTTGTTAGAAAACTAAACTGCCAGAGAAGGGTTTAGTGCCTAACCTCTGAAACAACTTTGTTCTTCTAGCTTGGTGGAACCGTGGGGGACATAGAAAGCATGCCCTTTATTGAGGCCTTCCGTCAGTTCCAATTCAAGGTCAAAAGAGAGAACTTTTGTAACATCCATGTCAGTCTAGTTCCCCAGGTAAGTAAGACATTGAAAGTTTTACTCTGGGAGAGATGGAGAGGAGGGAGGAAAGGTAAACTGGAATGGTTTTTACTTATTGTGTAGTAGTTTTCACTTGAGGTGCAGGAAGCAGAGAATAAAGAACTTTGTAAGTTTAAATTTGTTACAATCATACTTTTTTGAAAAGATCAAATAGAGGCCGGGCGCGGTGGCTCAAGCCTGTAATCCCAGCACTTTGGGAGGCCGAGACAGGTGGATCACGAGGTCAGGAGATCGAGACCATCCTGGCTAACACGGTGAAACCTCATCTCTACTAAAAAATATAAAAAAACTAGCCGGGCGAGGTGGCGGGCGCCTGTAGTCCCAGCTACTCAGGAGGCTGAGGCAGGAGAATGGCGTAAACCCGGGAGGTGGAGCTTGCAGTGAGCTGAGATCCGGCCACTGCACCCCAGCCTGGGCGACAGAGCAAGACTCCGTCTCAAAAAAAAAAAAAAAAAGAAAAGAAAAGAAAAGATCAAATAGAAAACATTTGAAAAATCAGGGCAGTTGCAGTTGCAGATGTAGATTGGCCGTGTGCATTTGTCTTTACAGTGTGGTGGAACTAGAGTAAAGAGGCTGTTTTTAAAGCAAATCTTGTGGAGAGGAGTCAATAGTAACAAAAATTAGGAAGCTGGAAGGCAGATGGATGCATAGAAACCAACTAAGCTGACCTTGAGTGCCAGATCTTATGCCTGCAGCAATGAAAGCAGAGAAGCTACCCTGTTTGCCCTGCAGAACCCAAAGCTCAGGAGCGGGATGAGGGTGGACCTTATGTAACTACTGCTTCAGAAGACTCAGACCCTGACATCTTTTTCCTAAAGTGCACAGTTGGGCATTAACCTCCTCCCACCTTGGCAGAAGACTGGAGGCTTGTTCTCTGGAGAGGGTTCCTGGATGAGCAGACACTAGGGACAGTTGAGGGCGGTAACACTGGACTACAAACATGGGGTTGTGTGTAATGTTACGCTGTTGACACTCCTTGCCTTCTTCCACCACTTGGTTCCCAGAATTGACATGTTCAGGCTTGGCCATTCCACGTGGGAGATTGTAAGATTGTCCTCTGGGGTATGGATAGCCCAGGATAAAAGACACTGGCTCTGGGGGCTCCCCGTGAAATAAGCCAGCCAGATTTTCACCAAGACAAGCCTACCCACTCACACAGAACTTACAGGTAGCATTGGAGCAGGCCTCCATACACTTGGAGAAAGCATCTGATAGGTAAGAGACCAAGCAACAGAAAGCAACTTACAGGGAACTGAGGCTCTACAAGCAGAGGAAACTTTAAAAAAAACCAAAAAACCCAAAAATGACCAGTCATTACTATTCTTAGAAAATTAAAAGGAGATAAGGTATATCCATTAGATAAGAACTGGATGCTGTAAGAAAGAAACATTGAGAGAACATAAAAGAATCCTTGGAAATTAAAAATTGGGTAGCAGAAATGAAAAAGTTAAGAGAAAGTAAGTTGAGGAGATACCTAAGGAAGTACAGCAAAAAGACTAAGAGATAGAAAATAGGAGAAAAGGTAAGAAAAATTAGAGGACCGGCTCAGAAGTTCTAACTTCCAAATAATAGGAGTTCCAAAAAATAAGAACAGAGAAACGGAAGTATAATCTTAACCCCAGGGGTCAGCAAACGATGGCCTATAGGCCACAGGAACCTACCCCTGCTTTATGGAAATCAAGTTTATGGAAATATAGCTGCGTCCATTTGTTTATGTGCTGTCTGTGGCTGCTTTTGCACTGGAACAGTAGAGTTGAATACTTGTGGCAGAGACTGTGTGGCCCACAAAACCTAAAATATTTATCATCAGGCCCTTTACAGAAAAAAATTTCTGACCCCTTATCTGAACAATTCAAGGAAATTTCTAGACATCAGTTTCTGGGTTGAAAGGGGGCCCCCTTGGTGCCTAGCATATTGGATGACAGATGACCCACACCAAGGCATATTATTGTGAAGGTTCAGACTAATGGGGCAGAAGTTCTAAAAGGCTCTAAAGAGAAAAATCAAGAATCATTGTGCCATTGGACCCCTCAGCAACAATACTGGAAGCTAAAAGACAGTGATGCGATTTCATTAAAAATTCTAGTGGAGTCTGGGCATGGTGGCTCCCACCTGTTATCTCAGCAGTTTGGGAGGCAGAGGTGGGAGGATTGCTTGAGCCTGTGAGTTTGAGACCAGCCTGGGCAATGTGACAAGACCCTGTGTCTATTTTAAAAAAAAGTCCAACAGAAAATGATTTCCATCCTACAAGTCCGTATGTAACGTCTATCTGTTAAGTGTGAGAGGAGAATAAAGATAATTTAGTCCAGAAAGGAAAAGTGTGGCACGTGGTTTGGGAACAGTATTTAAATACTTCAAAAGGATGTAAACCCGAAAGAGGGCTGCAGGCACAGGAAAGTGTCTAATGGGGGCAGGATCCTCATTTAACAGGGAAATCAATAGAAAATGGCTCCAAGTAAATGTGAAGAAGTGGCACACCAGCAAGATCAGTTAAGAATTGAAGAGCGGTGGTTTCTAGGGATTGGAAAGGGGAGAGTGCGTGAGGGCCGATACTGCTTACAAGCTCGGTAGAACCATTTGACTCTAAAATGCATGCACATGTAACTTTGACAAACATAAAAGCTAAATTATGTAAGTGACCAAATGATCTATTTCCTTTTTAAAAGGGGTTCAAGGAAAAGTCATACTTGAAAATTCCTTATCAGAGAGAAACTAACTTTTTTTTTTTTTTTTCCTTTTGTAAAATAGCCAAGTTCAACAGGGGAACAGAAGACTAAACCCACCCAGAATAGTGTTCGGGAACTTCGAGGGCTTGGGCTTTCCCCAGATCTGGTAAGATTTCCTGATAACTGGTTTCAGTGTAATCTTTTATGTGTAGTTAAGATCACTCTTTCATGACAGATAAGACCGTTGTCTTTTTGGCTTGCTTTTGATAATTGATGATGGGGAAAATAGGATTAGTGCTTTGAACCGGGCTCTAGTTTGCCACTTGTTCCTGCTTGGCACGTGTTAGGTCTTGTACTCCCCAGACCTTATTTTTCCTCTCAGTCCTTTTATTCTCATTTTTACTCCCACCTGGGAACACTAATGGAGGAAAACCCCAGAGCTCTTGTAGTTCATTAATGTATTCATTTGTATTGCCATTCTCTTATATTTCTCCAGTTTGGTGTTTAGGGATTTTAGCTTTGAAACGGGTCATAATATTTTTATGGATTATGTGCCTGGTGCTGAGATTAACATTTTCGTTCATCTTAACGATGTGAAGTCTGTTTTAATTTCAATCAGGGAAAACCCCTACTTTTGTCATCTTTTCCTTCTGTCTAAGCCATCTTGTTCTCTACTGCTAGGTCGTATGCAGGTGCTCAAATCCACTTGACACATCAGTGAAGGAGAAAATATCAATGTTCTGCCATGTTGAGCCTGAACAAGTGAGTAGAAATTCCCATCTCTAATAAGTTGTTTTTTGCTTTTAATTGTTCTAAAGCCTCTTGATGAGTTTCATGAGGCTTGTGTTACTTTCTAATTAGAGATAGTGGGCTGTTCCAGAAGAACCCATCGCCATCGGCTCTGATTTGCCATTCCTTGCCTCTCCTGGTTCCCCAAACACATTTGTGTCCTTCCTGCCTCTTCTCCGTGCCTCGTTGTACTTTGTGCTCCAGCCAGGTGGAGTATCTTTCGGTTCCCCTAGTACCCCCACTATCCCTGTGATTGTACTTTTGCACTGGCTAATTTCTGTTAAGAACCCATGTCCCCCTCTTCCTGTTGGCTTGGCGGTCTCCTACTCACTCTCATCCTTCAGGTTCTAGCGAAGACAGTGTTGTTTGAGAAGCTTTAACTGCCAAACCTCCTGGCCCTTGGCCTTCAGGGTTAACTGCGTCCTTCTCTGGGCTCCTGTGTGGTGTCTCACGTATGCTGCCAGTGGGCCCATCTTTCTGGTGTGGGTGTGTGTGTGTGTGTACACACGTGTGTGTGTACATGTGTGGTGTGTATCTCCCTTCACAGACTCTGAGCTTCTGGAGGGCAAGGGCCACCTCATTCAACTTGATGTTTCTGGTGCCTGGTGTCTAGGGTGTTGTAGGCTGTCACAGAGATGTTAGTGTTATTGTTACTGCACCTGTGATGCAGGAAATCCAAAATTTGGAACCTGTAATGTATCTAAGTGTGGTGCTTAGTATGGAAATTCCAGTGGTGATACGTTGAGCATGTAGCTTTGGCCAGGTTTTAGATATTTCTGTCCTAGCAAGTGAAGGAAATTTAATTCTGTAGCAGAATAGGTTGTCATTAAAATTGCTCAATTTTTTTTTTTTTTTTAATTGAGACGGAGTCTAACTCTGTCACCCAGGCTGGAGTGCAGTGGCGCGATCTTTTGGCTCACTGTGATCTCCACCTCCCAGGTTCAAGCGATTCTCCTACCTCAGCTTCCTGAGTAGTTTGGATTACAGGTGTGTACCACCACTCCCCGCTAATTTTTGTATTTTTAGTAGAGATGGGGTTTCATTATGTTGGCCAGGTTGGTCTCAAACTCCTGACCTCAGGTGATCCACTTGCCTCAGCCTCCCAAAGTGTTGGGATTACAGGCGTGAGCCACTGCGCCCAGTCTTAAAATTATTCACTATTAAAAATGTAATAACTATTTCCATATTTAAGTTTAAGTTTAAATTTTTTTGCTTTTTTTTTTTTGAGATGGAGTTTTCACTCTTTCATCTAGGCTGGAGTGAAGTAGAGCAATCTCAGCTCACTGGAACCTCCACCCCCTGGGTTCAAGTGATTCTCCTGCCTCAGCCTCCAGAGTAGCTGGGATTATAGGCGCCTGCCACCACGCCCAGCTAATTTTTGCATTTTCAGTAGAGATGGTGTTTCGCCATGTTGGCCAAGTTGGTCTGGAACTCCTGACCTCAAGTGATCCACCTGTCTCGGCCTCCCAAAGTGCTAGGATTACAGCTGTGAGCCACCACGCCCGGCCTTGCCTTTTTTTTTTAATAGACGAGGTCTTGCTGTGTCACCCTGGCTAGAGTGCAGTGGTGCTGTCATAGCTCACTGCAGCCTGGGCTTAAACAGCCCTCCTGCCTCAGCCTCCTGAGTAGCTCATACCTTAGGCGGAAGCCACCATGTTCAGCTATTTTATTTTTTGTAGAGATGAGGTCTTGCTATGTTGCCCATGCTGGTCTTGAATTCTTTGGGCTCAGGCAGTGTTCTTGCTTCAGCCTTCTAAAATGTTGAGATTACAGGTGTGAGCCACCATGCCCAGCCTTGCTTATTCTTTTAATCGGAATATTTATCTTACTGAATTGACTTGATATAGTCTGAATACAACTCTTTTATCAGGTATGTGATTTGCACGTACTTTCTCCGTAACTGTGCCTTGTCTTTTCATTTTCTTTTCTTTTCTTTTTTTTTTTTTTTGAGATGGAGTCTTGCTCTGTTGCCCAGACTGGAGTGCAGTGGCATGATCTCTGCTCACTGCAACCTCTGCCTCCCGTGTTCAAGTGATTCTTCTGCCTCAGCCTCCCGGGTAGCTGGGACTACAGGCGTGTGCCACCACGCCTGGCTAAGTTTTGTATTTTTAGTAGAGATGGGGTTTTGCCAAGTTGACGAGGCTGGTTGCGAACTGACCTCAGGTGATCTGCCTGCCTCGGCCTCCCAAAGTGCTGGGATTACAGGTGTGAGCCACCACACCTGGCCTTCATTTTCTTAATAGTGTCTTTTAGAGCACAGACACTTTTAAATTTCAGTGAAGTCCAGTCTGTTTTGTTCTTTTATGGATTGTGCTTTCACTGTCGTATCTAAGAACTCCTTGCTTAACCAAGGTCATGAAGATTTTCTTGTAAAAGTTAGTTTTAGGTCTTACAGGATCCATTCTAGCTTAACTTTTGTGAGTAGTGTGAGGTAAGGGTTGAGATTTTTACATGTGGATATCTACTTGTCTCAGCCCTGTTTGTTGAAAAGACTATCCTTGGATACTATTCCATACTTTTTAAAAATAAAGGTACATTATAGATTTACTAATCTTTATAAAGTTGTTTAGATTTATTTATAGCTATTCATAATTTTCATTACTACTGTGAACTTTTAAAAATTACATTTTCTGATTAGATATGGCCCATGTATAGGAGACCCTGCTGACCTCTGTCCATTCATCTATAGCCTAGCAACCTTACTAAAATTCTATTAGTACTGATTGTTTACCTGTAAATTCTTTTGGTTTTTATGGATAAGCAGTGATATTGTATGCCTTATTCAGTGGCAACCGCTTCTTGTTTTCTGGTTCATTTTTTTTTTTTTTCTTATCTAATGATAATTGCTAGTATCTTCAGTACATCATTGAATAGAAGTATTGAAAGTGACCATTCTGGCCTTGTTCTGGACTCTAAATAGTAAGCATTAATATTAAACCATGTGATGTTTACTGTGGGTTTTTTATATTGCCGAATTTTCCCTAATCTTAATTTACCAATCATTTTTATTATGAATTTGGTTTTGAATTTTTATCAAGTCTGCATCTACTGAGGGAATTTTTTCTTCCTTAATCAATTTTCTATTTATGTGGTGAATTCCACTGTTAAATTTCCTAATGCAGTAGTTCCCAAACTTGACTGCACACTGGAATCGCTTCGGGAGCTTTAAAAGTACTGTTGCCTGCCTCCTACCCCGAGAGATCCTAATTCAAGTGGTCTACGGGGCAGCATGGGCTTTTGACCTTTTATAAGCTCTGAATGATTCCAGTATGCAGCTGAGTTTGAGAACCACTGTTCCTAGTTAAACTATTCATGGGTTCGTGGACATGATTTTTTTAAACTACATTTGTGGTTTGGATCATGAATTTTTTTTTTTTTAGACAGGTTCTGGCTCTGTTGCCCAGGCTGGAGTATAGTGATGCGATCTTGGCTCACTGCAACCTCCAACTCCCAGGCTGAAGTGATCCTCCCACCTCAGCCTCCCGAGTATCTGGGGCCATGGGCACATGCCACCACACCCAGCTAATTTTTGGGTGTTTTTTTCAGGCTGGAGTGCAGTAGCACAATCTCAACTCACTGCAACTTCAAACTCCCAGGCTCAAGCGATTCTCCCATCTCAGCTACCCCCCAGGTAGCTGAGACTACAGGCACATGCCACCATGCCTGGCTAAATTTTGTATTTTTTGTAGAGACAGTTTTATCACATTGCCCAGTCTGGTCTCGAACTCCTGAGCTCAAGCAGTCCTCCTGCCGTGGCCTCCCAAAGTACTAGGATTACAAACATAAGCCATCTTGCCCAGCCATGAATTTTTTTTAAAGGACTTTTGCATCCATGTTCATAATAGATTGGCCACTAATTTTCTGTTCTATTCTTGAGTCTGTTTTAGTAATTTATCTTTATCTAGAAAATTGTCCTTTTTTCTCTTTTCAAATACATAATATTTTTACAAGGTCACATAGCTAGTAGGAGGCTATAAGCCTGGTAAGTTTTTGCTTTTATTTAATAACTTGCTTTTTTCTAAACAGGTGATCTGCGTCCACGATGTCTCATCCATCTACCGAGTCCCCTTGTTGTTAGAGGAGCAAGGGGTTGTAGATTATTTTCTTCGAAGACTTGACCTTCCTATTGAGAGGCAGCCAAGAAAAATGCTGATGAAATGGAAAGAGATGGCTGACAGGTTTGCCTGCAATGAGGAGCTGGGAGCTCTAGCCTCCTTTACTTTTTTGTAGGGCTGGTGAAGCTGACTCTAGCCCTAGCCCTTTTGCATTTCTGCCATCCACACATTAGAAGGGCCTTTGTAGTAAGACATGTTCAGAAAGAATCTTAACTATCATGTTGCTGTGGCACAGATGAGGAGATCCTGATAGGGCCAGGCCAGGTGCTGGGCCTGCAGGCACTGAGTTCGGGTTATGTCTTAACACGCTTGTCCCTTACCAAGATCAGTGCAAACAGGCATCCCGGTGGCAGCGGGTGAATGTGCATACCCGAAGCCCACATGAATGGCTGACAGTGGCTGGAGCACTCCTGGGTACCACCCCAGAGATCTGAGCTGTGTTAGGGAATGTGTGTCTCACCCCACACCAGAAAGGGATCACATCAGGAAGGGGATGTGTTGCTGCCTACTCCACTACATTCTTTTAAGGCTCGGTGGTTCTGTCACATCCCTTCAGAGATCTTCACTTCGTGTCTTAGAGCAATGGGCAGGCCTTATCTTAGTTGCAAGATCAATATGACGGCCTAGAAGCATTTGGAGAGGGCGTACTCATTCCATTGCTCTGTGAGAATCGTTTTTCATTTCAACATTTTCCCTTCAGTCTTTGTCTGCTTACATGTAGCTACCAGAATCGCACAGTTTTATCATCTTTTTTCATAAAACATTATAAGCATTTTGTTCTATTATTATATTCTACAATGAAAACTTTTAATGAGTGGGGACTTTTCTATTTTGTGAATGTCCCATAATTTGTTTGACACTTGCTTTCATCCCATTAATTCTTTTGAATTGTCTGTTTATGTCTGTTAATTTTTTTGGCCTTTGGTATGAAAAAAAGTTTTTGTAGGCAAATTTGTGTGAGGTACTGAAACTGTCTAAGTTTCCCAAAAAAAAAAAAAAAAAAAAAAATCTTTCTTTACAAAGCCTGCCATGTTGATCTGAAAATTACTTCCTCTTTACTGGTCTCTACACAGAACTCAGATAATAGCCATTCCCGTTATATTCTTCCCAGATGTGTTTTTATGGGGGTTTTTGAGGCAGGGTCTCACTGTTGTCCAGGCTCTAGTGCAGTGGTACAGTCAGCTCACTGTAACCTCCAACTCCTGGGCTCAATATCCCCTCGCCTCAGCCTTTCAAAGTGCTGGGATTATAGGATTATGGGCGTGAGCTCACTCCTGGCCAGACGTGTTTTTTTTCTCTTAAAATAGCTATTTTGGTCTCATGATAGCGTGTACCTTCTGAGTAACTGGGTATTTCTTGACGTTTGTTTGATAGATATGATCGTTTGCTGGAGACCTGCTCTATTGCCCTTGTGGGCAAATACACGAAGTTCTCAGACTCCTATGCTTCTGTCATTAAGGCTCTGGAGCATTCTGCACTGGCCATCAACCACAAATTGGAAATCAAGGTAAGGAGGGTGGCACAGGTACAGCCGACAGATGAGCAGGAAGCAGTCTGTAGTCTCCTAGGTGCCGCCTCATATCTGCTTTCTGTTTTTGGAGCTCGGAATTACTTTTTAGGGATTAAAAAGATTTGTGGTTGCTTCCTGGCTTCGAGAAGACAGTAGAGCATTTTCAGGAATTAATGAAGGGGAGAGATGGCTAGAGGAGAGGGTGAGAGAGACTTGAGTTCTTGGCTCTGACTATCAGGTAACCAAATAAAATGCCCTGTGGAAATGGGGGCCGCTGGTGGACCACAGGCATGCTGCACAGTTGACAGCTGGAGGCTCTCGAAGACTTTGTTGGCATGTGGGCTGCCTTTCCTAACCTGTGCTCCTCACTTATTGCAGAGTGGGAATGACAGTATTGACCTCATAGAGCTGTGAGGTTTCTCTGGGATGCAGGGCGGGCACTCAGTAAATGGTAGTTACTGTGTTCTGGTCTGTGTCATGGCGGGCAGCAGCTGAGCTGGTGGAATGGTGGGGCATGGCCCTACTTATCTATGGGTGGCAGTAGAGTGTCATGGTTAAGAGCATGGATTCTGTGGCTGGGCGCGTTGGCTCATGCCTGTAATCCCAGCACTTTGGGAGGCCGAGGTGGGCAGATCACGAGGTGAGGAGATTGAGACTGTTCTGGCTAACACAGTGAAACCCCGTCTCTACTCAAAATATAAAACAGCCAGGCGTGGTGGCGTGTGCCTGTATTCCTAGCTACTCAGGGGACTGAAGCAGGAGAATTGCTTGAATCCGGGAGGTGGAGGTTGCAGTGAGCCGAGATTGCACCACTGCACTCCAGACTGGGTGACAGAGTGAGATTCCATCTCAAAAAAAAAAAAAAAAAAAGCATGGATGCCTGAGCCAGGTGACCAGGACTAGATTCTAGCTCTGTCATCTACAAGCAGTGAGACCTAGACAACTTACTTAACCCTCTTTGTGCCTCAGTTTCCACGTCTTTAAAAAGGGATGGTGATGGTGCCTTCCTCCTAGGGTTGTTGTAAGAAGTTCATGAATACAAAGTGCTGAGATTTATGCCTGGCATATGGTAAGTGCTATGTCAGCTGTCTTTGAAAACCCTCCCTTCTGCCTGTCCTCTTTATTCCTTTTCTTCCCAGCCCATCAGCTGGAGCTTTTCAGGAGGAGATGAAGGTCAGAGGTAAAGTTGGGGCTCAGTGCTGAGGTTGTAAACCGGGCCCCATGTAGCTGTCCCCACATTAGGGTTTGCTTTCTACTTCCCAGGTGTTTCTCAGCGTGAGAATTTAGTTTGCTTTGTGCTGCTGGACAGGTTCCTGCAGAATGACCTGTTGTACATGTTTTAAGAATTTAAATCCCATTATACAGGCCTGACTTCTTTCTTGCTAGTTCTTTCCATCATTCATTTATTTTATTCACTTGGAGTTAGTCTGTGGCTGCCATGTGTTTGTTAGGTGGCAGAGGATGAGAGATGGATGAAAAGGCAACAGTCTCTGCCTTTAAGGAATATTGAGTCTCTTAGGTAGGAAGGAGCACATAGGAGAGGCTGAACCTGCCGTGGCAGACACATGAGGAAGGCAGACTTCCTCATGGAGGGACACCAGGTCGGGTTGGGTAGGATGGAGAAGGCTTGGAAGGGGCATTCCTATTAGAATAGATAGAGCACGTCCAAGGGCTTGGAGATGTGGAGCCGTTGGAAACACTGTGGATGGAAATTGTGAATTGGAGGCTGTCTGGAGATAGGCTGGTGTGAGGGCCTGCCCACAGTTCCATGAACTGGGCCAAATCTGGGTCTTACCCTGAGGTTCAGGGAACTAACTGCAGGGTTTAGGTAGGAGAGTGTAAAAAAATAGTGAACACCCTAATTTAAAAAGTGGGCACAAGATTTGAACAGACACTTCCAAAAAAAGGTGTAGGTGATATACACGAAAAGGTGCTCAGCACCTCTAGTTGTCAGGGAAATCCATGTACATGAAGTCACGATGAGATCGTGACGCATACCCACTAGAGCGGCTGAGTGTTAGAGAGGCTGTGGAGCTCTTACCTTGCTGCTGGTAGTGTAAAATGGCACCACCACACTAGAAAACAGTCTATCAAGGTAGACATGTGATCCAATAAGTCCATTCCCAGATACTCACTTGAGAGACTTGAAAATATGTCCACAAAAAAAGATTTTTATTCAAATGGACAAATTATTCGTAATAGCTGAAATCTCAAAACAACCTAAATATAGCCTGCCAATGGATAAATTTGTAATGGTTTATTTATATAGTAGAAAACGACTCAGCAATGAAAAGGAACAAACCAGGCTGAACACAGTGGCTCAAGCCCATAATCCCAACACTTTGGGAGGCTCTGCTGTGGGAGGATCGCCTAAGGCCTGTAGTTTGAGAGCAGCCTGGTCACCATAGCGAGACTTCCATCTCTGCAAAAAAAAAAAAAAAAAAAAATGTTAAAAAAGAAAAGGAACAAGCTACTGATAAACACAGCAACATGGATGTACTTCAAAAACACTAAGCAAAAGAAGCCAGATACAGAAGGTTATATACTATTTGGCTCCATTTATATGAGGTTCTGTAAGAGGCAAAATGAATCTGTGATGATAGAAATTAGATCTGAGGTTGTTTGGGGTAGGTGGTAGAGGGGAGACATTCTGGGAAGATGGTAACTTACATTTTGTTTTGTTTTTGTTTGAGATGGAGTCTCGCTCTGTCACCCAGGCTGGAGTGCAGTGGCATGATCCCAGTTCACTGCAACCTCCGCCTTCCGGGTTCAAGCAATTCTCCTGCCTCAGCCTCCTGGATAGCTGGGACTACAGGTGTGCGCCACCACACCCAGCTATTTTTTTTATTTTTATTTTTAGTAGAGATGGGGTTTCACCATGTTTGCCAGGCTAGTCTCAAACTCCTGACCTCAAGTGATCCACCCACCTCGGCCTTCCAAAGTGCTGGGATTATAGGTGTGAGCCACCACACCTGGCTCATTCTATGTCTTGGTTGCGGTGGTGGTCACACCTTCATGTGTATGTTTGACAAAACTCTTCAAAGTATGCACTTAAAATGCTTGTATTTTATTGTATGTGAATTATGCTTCAATATGGTAGAAAGAAAAAGAAAAAACCCACAAAAGCTGGGCAGAAGATAGGCTGAGGAGAGTGTCATTGAACAGAAAGCCCTCTAGAGTCTGCTGCAGAGGCCAGATCCTGAACAGAGTAGAGTGCAGAGAGAGAGAGATTTGGGAATTTAATGATTTTGAAGGAAACTGTTGTATTTTAAAATCTCATATTTAAAAAAATTTCAAGTTATTAAATGTATCAAGGTGATCACTTTAAAGCCAGAATTAAGGAAGACAGAACTTTGATAAAATGATAGTATTATTTAAAAATTAAGAAAGCACAGCTTTGAGTCACGAGCCTGCTTTTCTCCCCTGTCTGAACGCTGTCCAGTACATAGATTCTATGGACTTGGAGCCCATCACCTCGCAGGAAGACCCCGTGCGCTACCACGAAGCTTGGCAGAAGCTCTGTAGTGCTCAGTGAGTAGAGTTCACTGCCCTGGGTTTCCGGGGTTCTTTTCGTTTGTTTTAATGACAGAGTCCTCTGTTTTCATGTGCTAATAGTAGGTAATTGACTTGTTAAAATATTTTTTAATTATTGGAAAGACTACCTGCTGTCTGATTTAATCCTTTAAAAATGCAGTGTGTCAATATCATTGGATCTGAAAAGCTGTTTTGATTTTGATACTGTTTGCCATATGCATCTATTGATGAGGCTTATTTAACGATTTTTCATCCAGAACATTTGATGAGTACTCATCAGTAGAATCTCATAAATTGTTTTGGCAGCTGTTATTTATAATAGTAAAAACATTAGCAAGAGTTTCTGGTTCACCAGAACAGTTGAATATTACGGAGGTGTACACCTTCTTCTGAGCGTCTTGGTCAGTACGGCACACAGAGCTGATGAAGAAAGGCCCCCTTCTTAGGGGAGCATTTTAAGCCAAGAGGTAAAATAAATTGTTTATATTAATATATGTATTTAAAATTATGGGCTGGGTGCAGTGGCTTATGCCTGTAATCCCAAAACTTTGGGAGGCCGAGGCAGGAGGATTGCTCCAGCCCAAGAGTTTAAGACCAGCCCAGGCAACATAGGGAGACCCTGTTTCTACAACAAAAACAACAAAACCAGCTGGGTGTGTTGGCACATGCCTGTGGTCCCAGCTCCTTGGGAGATTGAAGCTGCAGTGAGCTGTGATCACACCACTGCACTCCAGCCTGGGTAACAGTGTGAGACCCTGTCTCAAGAAAAAATAATTGTGGACAACTGAGTACCAAAGATAGTGCAGGGGCAGTATTGCAGTTATGTGTACTATCTTTTTCCCTTGCAATAAGCATGTTCTTATGTTACAAGAAAAGTCCATAGTTTTGTATGCAGTTTCTAAGTTCATAGTATTTACATACAATTCATTGTCCTAATAGCACAATGTATGGGGTTAATTCATGGCTTCAGTGTCTTGGTAATGGCCCCTTAGGTGGTTATTGCAAGCTGGGCTGGTAGAAAAGGGGAGTTGCCTTTGTGGTTTGTTCTTTTGTGCAGTGGAGTGCTGGTTCCAGGAGGATTTGGTGTTCGAGGAACCGAAGGAAAAATCCAAGCAATTGCCTGGGCTCGAAATCAGAAAAAGCCTTTTTTGGGTAAGGAGCTCTGCAGTGCAGTCTTCACTTAGAGTAGGAAAGAGTGGGGAACGGTGCCACATGGGGGCCGATGAACAAAGTGGGGGGTTACTGAAACGTGCTGTCTTTGTGGATAGGAGCCCCAGCAGAAGCCTTCATGTTTCTCTTTGGAGACAAATTCAGTCTTTTAAAATGGAAAGCTTATTTATGCTTATGAGCTTACATGTAGATGTTGTGGAATTTTGAGAGAATGAATTGTGAATTCCTGTCCATTTAATGAACCCAGCTGTTTGCAGCACACGTGATGTTGAGTTTTACATCCGCTCACTTGGCACAACAGCTGACTGTAATTGGACAAAATGATTTTGGATGCCTCCTGGTGCTGTACATTTTAGTAATTTTCAACTTGAACAACTGTAAATAAAAACTTAGAGAGGGTAAGAAAACTTGAATTTTAAAGTACTGAGGCTAGGCACGGTGGTTCACACCTGTAAACCCAACCCTTGTGGAGGCTGAGGCAGGAGGATTGCTGGATCTCAGAAATTCGAGGCTGTAGTGAGCCAAGATTGCTCCACTGCACTCCAGACTGGGCAACAGCAAGACCCTGTCTGGGAAAAAAAAGTACTGAATAGAATATCACTTACTTCTAAAATCAGATGACTTTGCAAATCTAGAATTTTTATCTACTTTACATGCAGTTTTTGAAATCTAATACAAGTAAAGTGTAACAGCAGAGGGTACTTGTTCATAGCAGGAAGTTATGAGTTTGCGATTATACTTCTCCAAATAAAGGACACAAAGGCCATTGCAGAGACTGCTGGGAAAAGTAGGAGCTGCCTTTTCAATGGAGCTTTGTTTGTTTTCCCCCCGACTGGAAGGTGTGTGCTTAGGAATGCAGTTGGCAGTAGTTGAATTCTCAAGAAACGTGCTGGGATGGCGAGGTAAGTGTGCATCAAGACACTCATTCAATTCCCACTTGTGTATTTCTGGAGGATATGAGGCCTGTTGCTGCCTGGGTGATGAGGAACTTTGGAGAAGGGCAGGCCTGGGTTCCCAGCACCTCATGGTGTGCTGTAAGGGAGCTGCTTTGCCTCTTGAGGAACAGCATGGTTCCTCCACGCAGGAAGGAGGGAGCACAGCCAGACTCCCTACTTTGCCTTCTGCCCCTGTGTTCATATTCTTGAGATTCTGTCACTTTGATCACGGTGGCCGCCATCCTGAAGCTGGTGCCTGGTGAGAAGTCGTCGTCCTAAGTGAGGCTTGGGCAGTTATTATGAGAACTTGGGCTCTGGAGCTATTGAACCTGGGCTCAGATTCCAACCTTACCACTTATGGATGATTTTAAGCAAATTACTTAGCCTTTATGGGTCTCTGTTTTTTCTGTAAAATGGGAGTAATGATGGTACGCACATCACATGATTAAGGGAGATAATGTATGTAAATAGTCTCTAGCAGTGCCTGGAAAATAGGGAAATGCTCAGATAATATCAGCTCTTCGCCTAGATGTGTATTACTACGTGACAGACCTCCCTAAAACTCAGTGGCTCCCAACAGCAGTGACTTCTCAACTCAGTATTCTATGGTTTGGCTCAGTGCATGGGTTTTGGCTGCACGTGGTGTAGTATCTGAGATCGTACACTCCTGCCTTCCTTTCAGCTGTGAGCTCAGCCCAGCAGGGATGTCAGGATGCTCTCTCCACCTAGTGGCTCATCATTCATTAATCCAGCCCAAGCTTCCTCACACAGGGCGGGCAGCTGGCTTCCAAAATGACAGGCCTACTGTGCAGGCACTTACCAGGCCTGCTGATACCACGTTGGCCAAAACAAGTCATGTGGCCAAGCCCCGACTCAGGGGGCAGGGGAACACACATGAGTGTGAAGACTGAGCATGCTGCATTGGGGCCACCCATGGACTAGTCCATCACAGCCCATTTATTCTCTGTAACCCACCCGACAAATACTAGATTTTCAGAAAGACCTTGTAAATTCTGTGGAAAATAAACAAAGTAACCTGAAGGAATGTAAAAGCAGTTTGACTTTATAAAGTACAAGTGACTCTGGTGGCCAGCATATGGTTTAGGGCTGGGTTTCATTCACCCTTTCCCTGAGAGGCTGCTTCACAGTGACCTGGGGGTGTGGCCCAGTTTGGTAGATGGCATGCCCTTGAGTGCTGGCTTCTGAGTCCTAGGAGGCACTGTCTTACCACCCGCCACCCCAGAGCTGCCTTTCTGGGCTCCCTGGATCCTTCACAGCCGAAGACCTCTGCCTCTCACTTAGGTTCCCAAATGGGTAAGTGCCTTGGTGATGAGCTTACACTTCAGTTGAGACTGGACCCTGGCCAGGAGAACAGTGCCCAGCATTCACATAGTAAAAGGAACTTGGTCCTTTGCCTTTTGGTCTTTAGTGGTTTTGCTTTGGTTAGATGGTAAGTTCAATGAAGAACAGAAAGGTTGAGTTGAAATCAAGTCATTTCTGACTGAGCTATTGAGTGAAACAGTTGAGTTGGGCATTGTATTAGCTGCTAAAGATGAAAGAAGTATTAGAAGAAATAGTACTTGTTCATCTTGGAGAGACAGAGTCTGAAACATTAAGACAATATAAAAACTTGGCCAGGCATAGTGGCTCAGGCCTGTAATCCCAGCACTTTGGGAGGCTGAGATGAGTTGATCACTTGAGGCCAGGAGTTCAAGACCAGCCTGGCCAACATGGAGAAACCCCATCTCTACTAAAAATACAAAAATAAACCAGGTGTGGTGGTGTGCGCCTGTAGTCCCAGCTACTTGGGAGGCCAAGACATGAGAATCACTTGAATTCCGGAGGTGTAGGTTGCAGTGAGCCAAGATTGTGCCACTGTACTCCATCCTGGGTGACATAACGAGACTCTGTCTTAAAACACAAGCAAACAATATAAGAACTGTCACAGGCTGGGTGCGGTGGCTCATGCCTGTAATCCCAGCACTTTGGGAGGCCAAGGCAGGCAGATCACCTGAGGTTGGGAGTTCGAGACCAGCCTGACCAACACGGAGAAACCCCGTCTCTATTAAAAATACAAAATTAACTGAGCATGGTGGCGCATGCCTGTAATCCCAGCTACTCGGGACGCCGAGACAAGAGAATTGCTTGAACCCGGGAGGCAGAGGTTTCAGTAAGCTGAGATCACACCATTGCACTCCAGCCTGGGCAACAAGTGTGAAATTCTGTCTCAAAAAAAAAAAAAAAAAAAAAAAAACTGACATAAAGATGCAGTATCTAATTAAAAATTACTAGGTTATGCCATTAGTTTTAATTTCCCCATTTTGTACTGATTGACTTTCCAGAAAGAGTTATACTTAATGGAAAAAAAATCAACTGTGTGTGGGCTGAGCATTTTATGTATTAAAAATGCTATTTATTGCCGGTCTGGTGGCTTGCACCTGTAATCCCAGTATTTTGGGAGGCCAACACAGGAGGATTGCTTCAGCCCAGCTGTTTGAGACTAGCCTGGGCAATATAGCCTTTGTCTCTCTAAAACACGAAAAAACATTAGCTGGATGTGGTAGTGTGCCCCTGTAGTTTGACCTTCTTGGGAGGCTGAGGCCGGCGGATTGCATGAACCTGGGAGTTCAAGGCTGCAGTGAGCTCTGATGGCACCACTGCCCTCCAGCCTGGACAACAGTGAGATCTCGTATGGGGATGAGGTCAGGGGGATGCTATCTTCAGTATTTATTATAATCAATGATCTTAAACTGAGGAGGGAAGTTGTGTTTAGAGCTTAGCAATGAAACTATTAATCACTTTTGTTTGTAACTGTTTTCATAAGTATTTTGGTATTTCAGATGCCAATTCTACAGAGTTTGACCCTACGACCAGTCATCCCGTGGTGAGTCAAGTGTTTGAACCTCCACAGGGCTTAGAAGGGTGTGGAGGGGGCGTTTATGAACGTGATTGATGATTAGAGACAGGATGTGAGACCGCTTGAGTCCATCCCAAAGAACCCTGAGATAGGAAAAAGTTTTCGTTTTCATTACGTAATTCCCCCCTAATCTTTCCAATTGACCACAGCAAGTTTTTAAGACAGATACCAGCCCAGGAAACTGGAGGAGATTCCTGATTAAAATTATTCTCCATCCCTCCTCCCCTCAACTCCTAGAACACGGTGTAGATACTAATATGAGAGCCTGCATGTGTGCTTACTGTGTGCTAACTGCTGCTCTCACTGCTTTCATCTGTCTATTACATATTAATTCATGGGATCCCCAGCCACAGTCCTGGGAGAACTGCTGGGATGGAGCACTGGTTGGCTTAACCGTATCCAAAGCTCTTCCGGGCTGGCGTACCTTGCGTTGGATTTCACGCCGAAGGCCTATGGCATTCTCAGCCCGCTGTACTGTTACGCACATGGAGGAGGGATGATGCCTTTATTCACCTTTGAATTCTCAGACCAGGGTGACAGGGATGTAAAGGAAAGGGCACTTATTTACGTTTTTCAGCATTCAGCAAATGTGGATGCGTACTATGTGCTGGGACTGCCCTTGTCACCGAGGACACTGTGCTAAATGGACACTGTGCTAAATGAGATGGACAAGGTTCTTGATCTCACGGCACTTAGATAGCATCACTGTGTTTGTTGACCTGAAATTGAACTTTGCAGATACTAAGGCCTCAGGAGTGGACCAGCAGATATTTTGCAGCATGGGGCTTTGGGGTCGGGAAGAGCAGGGCACAGAGAGCCTGGAGGTCAGAAGGTGCCTGGGAACGCTGGGCTGAGAGGTGGACTGGGCCATCAGTGTATGGCCCACCCGGTCCTCAGATGCTTGCTAAGCTGCAGGGTGCTAACTCCGCATCACTTGCCTTTGAGCAGTCATCGGGCTAGCTGGGATGATGACAGACATGTTATGACACATCCAGTCTGTGTCTGTGCTACTGTATCAGTCTTTCTGAGGATGTGATGTTTACGTCCACAGTGCTGGGGCGGGACTAGCCCGAGGAGGGGCTGCTGTGGTCCTGTCTGCAGATCAGGAGGACAGGCTGAAGGACAGAGCCTCCACCCAACCGAGGTTACAAATGCCAACTGGGAGGCATTTTCTCCTGTGACAAAACGTCTCATAAGGAAAGCCTGGAGAATTAGAGCCTACTCACAAGCCTTTGCCACCCACTCAGCCAGGGAGGTTTCTCTCTAGCGGAAGCAGAGTTCTGTAGTTGGTGTCTGTTTTCTGAACATCTCCAGGTCGTAGACATGCCAGAACACAACCCAGGGCAGATGGGCGGAACCATGAGGCTGGGCAAGAGGAGAACCCTGTTCCAGACCAAGAACTCAGTCATGAGTAAGAGCTGCCTCGCGCTGGCCCAGCCTTTGGCTCTGCGCGCCCAGGACTTGTCTTAGGGTGGTGCCGTGGCTTCGAGGAGCAGGCTGGCTTTTTTTTGTTTCGTTCTTGCTTTTGAAGTTCTTTCTTTCCTCTCTTATTCATACCCTTTTAGGATGCACTGTAATAGCCATAGAAGCAGTGTGGGTCTTAGAAACGCCACTGGCAGTGCAGTCAGACTCCTAGGCATGGGCGCCTCAACACAGTGAGGCAGTGAGGTTACATTCATCCTTAATTGGTTACTTTCCTGTTAAGACCAGCCATATAAATTGCTGATGTTTGGCAATTTTTGTCACACAAAAATGGCAATTTCATATGATTCAGCCTAAGTAGATTCTGTTCTAATAATGCCGTTTCATGCATCCTGATTTGCTTTCCAAGGCAGTTTTCTAGCAGCAGAGTGCCCATGCTTTGCACTCACGTGCTTGAAGGTGGTGGTGAGAGTCTTGTTTCTGTTATGGCTTTCTTTAGTGTTGTCAGAAAGAGTCAGAAGCCCAAGAATTAGTGTAAACTGTGCTGTTAAGAGCAGGTGACCGTAGCAGATTCATAGAAATAGCCCTCAAAAGACTTGGCTGTGTAGATGCTGAAAAGTAAAGTGGGAAGGAGGATGTCTTTGTGAATGCATCATCCTGTGAGATAAAGTTCTCTACATGCAGCCCGTTTGTTTTGCCAGGGAAACTCTATGGAGACGCAGACTACCTGGAAGAGAGGCACCGGCACCGATTTGAGGTGAGGATTCCAGCTTGCTCCTGGTACTCTGGAAAGACCGTGAGCTGAGAGACCAGCAGAATTATTGTTCATGCCTCAACAGGTGAATCCAGTCTGGAAAAAGTGTTTGGAAGAACAAGGCTTGAAGTTTGTTGGCCAAGATGTCGAAGGAGAGAGAATGGAAATTGTGGAGTTAGAAGGTGATTATTCGGGCAGTTTTATTTAATGGAAAACTTAGTAATCTTGGCATATGGGAAAATACAAAAATGTTATCTTGTTGCTCCTAACCTAACAGAATTAGGAAGCAGCACTGTCTCATGAGGGAAGGGGTCTTGATAAACATGGGGTCTGGACCCTGGAAAGTTCTTTCTGGTACATGGCCTTACTCAGGGAACCATTTAACTTCTGGCCGCAGTTTCTCCTTCTCCAAAATGCTTGGAGTTGGTACTAAAGCTGCTTTAGCCCTCTCCTGAACCGCAAGACCTCAGTCTACAGAAGTCCTGGGAGCCAGGGTCTGGGATGGGACTCTGGACAGGAGGCCTTCAGCCAGGAGGGGACAGCACAAGCAGTGCTGGAGAAAGGGTGTCAGATCACTCATGCTTTGAGGTTACCTTTACCTAGATTGAAATGAGAAAGTCATTTTCAGATTATTTTAGGGCCTATGGAAACAGGAAACATTTAAGCAGATTTTGTTCTTTTGCACTTTGTGCATAACCTTCACAATGAAGCTGTTTCTTTTGAGTCTGTTTCAGATCATCCCTTTTTTGTTGGTGTTCAGTACCACCCTGAGTTCCTGTCCAGACCTATCAAGCCCTCCCCACCATACTTTGGCCTCCTCCTGGCCTCTGTGGGGCGGCTCTCGCATTACCTCCAGAAAGGCTGCAGGCTCTCACCCAGGTAGGTGCACTCTTTGCTTCAGTAATCCATTCGTCTTCTCTAGTCCTTTAGGTGGTCGCTGATTCATTACAGCAAAATGTCACAGTCAGTCATAAAAAAAAAGCCACAGGCGCCTGGGGTGAAAGTTTCTTCTCCTTTTCCGGAGCTTTCTCACGGTGCTTCCCTGGCGTGTTGGCCAGGTCCCCTTTCTGCAGCATCTGAGCTCTGGTGGTACTGACCAGATCACACTTGGCGTAGGACCCTCTGGTCCATGTTAAGGGGAACTAGTTTTTCCCGGGAAGTAAGCCACAACCCGGGGAGGTTTATGTCCCATTGCCACCTTTATCCAGAACCAGTACTCAGAGTTGGTGGTAGGGTGTGTGACTGAATGTATATCTTTTGTAGCTAGAAGAAGGAAATCCTTCTGTAGTTTCATACTAAATATGTAGCAAACAGTCTTTCTAATTCCTGCCATGTGCAGACAAGTGTCCCTGTAGGAACTGTGGCTGTAAAAACAGGGACGTAAAGTGAGTTTTTGGTGGGAGATGATGCATCTGAATTCTACAGGGACACCTACAGTGACAGAAGTGGAAGCAGCTCCCCTGACTCTGAAATCACCGAACTGAAGTTTCCATCAATAAATCATGACTGATCTTGTAGTGTAAGTGCTATTTTAAAGTTTTAGTTTTTTTAAAAAAATGGTGATGGCACATTGTGATTGCAAGAATATCGTGGAAGTTTAGGGCTGAAAATTTTTATCTGTCAGGAATGATAGTGGTGAGGTCTTGAATATAATCCATAGGTTGAGAGAGAAAAGAAAGAAAGGAGTGAGGTCAGTGCGGGTATCAAATGGGCAGTCCTTCCTTCACATTGCCGTGCACCTCCCAGTCCTGCCCTGGGGATGACAGCTTGGGGAGCACGGTCACTGGGCAGTTGTCTCAATACTGATTACTACATTCTGGTGCCAGTCTGACCAGTTCTGGGGCCGGGGGTGGGGAGGGTCTGAATTCTTAGGCCCTATTGTTTGACGTAGCTAAAAATTTGGAGATCTTGAAGGAAGAGACAGATATGACAGTGTGGCACTTGTCATTTCTGCAGAGCCTCAGGTTTTCATCAGGAAGTACTTTAAAACTGACACTGCTTAGAGAACAGTTTTTTGTTGATTGCTGCTGCTTCTGGAATTCCTTCAAAGTTGGAACAATTGCCAAACAGACGTCAAATGTTTGCCTATTAAGTGACAAGACTTGTAGGTTCATAAAGTGCAGTAACTGTGGGCACTGCCACGAAACGTAAATGTCCTCTAGGATAACTGTGTGGACCGTGTTGGCAGAAGTACGCGTTCTGCTGGTGAGGTATCAAATGAGGAAGTGTCAGTTGGGAATCTGGGGTCTGGAAGGAGAACCAGGGGTATGGGTGTGGCCCCACCGCTCCTGCCCTAAGGCCTGGGCAGGGGGACCTCCCTGAATCCTGCACACAGTGTGTTCATCACCAGTGGGTCTCTGGTGCTGGGTCCGTGCCGGTCTGATCTGCTGATCACAGCTGTTTCCCTCCTGCCTTGGTTGGTTGACCCCTGTCCTGGGATAGCCTAAACAGGTGGTGGGTAGCATGAGAAGTTAGTGACAGGAGGAGAGCCTGTGTGCTAGGTAAGCATTGAACACAGACGGACTCATGAACCCTCTGACCAGGGGGTTTGCTATAGGCTGTTTCACAGTCTAAGGAGCTGGTATAACAAGAATTGTTACCAGTAAAGGAGGCAGATATTTGGTCCATTACATGGAATTCTGACTGCCTCGCAAGTAGAGAATTGCCCAGTAGTGACACTGTGATGAGGTGCTGTGGAGAAAGAATGCTTGCATTGGGTGGTTGTAGAAGTCGATGTGTGAGGTCTTGAAAATGTGATTCTGTAGGAATTATAAATGTAGTGTCTAATTATTCCTATTAGGCGCCTTCTACTGCTCTGCCATGAAAAACAGGCTTCGTTTCCCATGGCAGCTGACTAGAAATTCTAACTTTTCTACTTTAATGTACATCATATAATTCCCACTTTTTTTTTTTTTTTCTTTTAAACAGGATGATTCTTCAGGAGACCCTTCAGACTTGGGTAGAGTTTACAGCTCTGACTTTACACTCGGCTTTGGACACTTTCTTTAAATTATGTTTTTATTAAGATTATTTTATTATGCGGAAAGGTATTTGGGAAACTTGTCACTTGCATGTCCCATCATGTGTACTGGCTCCTCTGTGGTGTCTGCCTGTTGCGTGACACTCTCCTTGCAGTTCTTGAGTTGCGGCAGACATTGGGATGGGAACTGATGGTGGGTGGGGCTGCAGAGTGCCCCATCGGTCACCTGGTTTCTCAACTACCTCGCGTCATTGCAGATGCTAGCGCGTTGCCTGTCGCTTTCCCCTGGATGCCTAGACCGTTATAAAGTGTGCCACATGGACTTACTGAGCATGGAGAGAGGATTTTAGCTAGGATTTGAACACTTGGTGCTGGGAACCTCAGGGTGTTGCTTGCCACTAAGCCATGAAACCAGAGACAAAATCTCTATACTGCCCTGAGTTGGGGGGATTCTCAGTGCCAACTGTGGCTGGTCCTCGTCATCCAAAGGGACGGTCAGTTTGGTGTCACATGAAACACCAAGATGTCTGTCTCTGAAGCGTGATTTTAAAATCCCCATGCCTGTGGCTGCGCTTCCTGTTGCTAGGGCTGGGAAACACTCCTTGCATCAAGGGGTCACTTACAGAACAGAGTCTTTTGGGGAAACTTCCTCTAAAACCCTCTCATATATAGACAGCTTTGACTCGAGGGTACGTTTTTCTTCCAGGATGGTGTTACTGCAGTTGAAAGGGCAATATGAAGTTATTTTCTTAATGTGACCTAACGATAGGCACAGCTATGTGCTCCTATATTCTGGCCAGACTCAATGTGTACTCTAACTTAAGAAATAAATAAATAATGCAGAACAAGAGACATGCTTTGCTTCTCATTCTGTTTATGTCATTGGCCAGATGGGAAGCGTCTGAGCATGGAGCTGGTGTGCCTGTGTGCGGTCACCTGAATTGTCAGTGCCGGGTGCTCCTGCAGGTGAGCAGCCTTGAGTCAGCAGACGACCTGAGAATTTGTTTAAAAACTAAGAAATGAGGCTTTCTTTTTAATAGGAACCAGAATTTTTCATAAAGCTTCAAATATGGGTTCTCAGCATGTAGAGCGAGATGAAAAGGTGCATGGGTGCTGTTTATGCTGCTTCATGACTGAGAAAGGGGAGGGATAAGCATGGTTTAGGAAGGTGGTCGTCTCCTCTGCCAGGCACTGGATGTGGGTACCCCATATACACAGCCAGTGAGCCGCGGGCCAGACTATCTTCACCAACAGAACTGCTTGTTATGGTACTTTGAATGAAGCTGATCGAGCATAATTCTAACCTCTTCTCCCACCTGGTGGTACCAGGAGATACTCTTCATTTTAAATTTTATTTATTTTTTGAGTTAGGGTCTCTGTTGCCCAGGCTGGAGTGCAGTGGCACAAGCACAGCTTGCTGCAGACCTCCTGGGCTCTTAAGATCCTCCCGCCTCAGCCTCCCAAGTAGCTGGGACTACAGGTTCACGTCACCATGCCCAGCTAATTAAATTTTTTATATATAGAGAGAGACAGGGTCTCGCTGTGTTGGCCAGGCTGGTCTTGAACTCCTGGCCTCAGGGCGGTCCTCCCACAGTGCAGGGATTACAGGCATGAGCCACTGCACCTGGTCAGTAGTCCTTTTTTTTTTTTTTTTTGAGAGGGAGTCTCGCACTGTTGCCTGGGCTGGAGTTCAGTGGCGTGATCTCGGCTCACTGCAAGCTCCACCTCCCAGGTTCAAGTGATTCTACTTGCCTCAGCCTCCCAAGTAACTGGGATTACAGTTGCCTGCCACTATGCCCGTCTAATTTTTTTGTATTTTTAGTAGAGATGGGGTTTCACTATGTTGGCCAGGCTGGTCTCGAACTCCTGTTGTGATCTGCTCGTCTCGGCCTCCCAAAGTGCTGGGATTACAGGTGTGAGCCACCGCATCTGGCCCTCTTTTTTAAAAAACATTCCCCAAACTGAGGGTCTAACATGCCGATTGGTGACGTCGTGGCTCCCCACAATGGTTGGGTGTGTGGGTGGCGTGAAAAAGCCTCCCAGTAATTATGTTCCTGCCCCTACGTTTAAGATCACTTTGATCAGTTGTCAAGTGCTGGCCACAGATGTAAGGTTTCTGAGAAAAGAGATCCCAAATGACTCTCCAGGGCTTGCAAAGCCCAAGCAGCCCCGCCAGCCTGCCTGTGGCAGACAGGATAGGGCTGAAGCTGGATTTACAAGAGGGCAACCTGTATGCCCAGTGTTTACTGACCCGTCCCCAGAGGCTTCTCCCTGGTGGGGAGGAAAGCTGGTCACATTCCTCATTCCTTTCTTAATGTGACCTAACAATAGGCACAGCTATGCGTAACTTCCCTTCAGTAACTTCCTTCAGTCCAGGGGGTCTGGGCAGGTTCTTAGCAGTCCGGAGCAGCTGGGCTGAAGCCTGACTTCACCCTTCCTTTGTAGAAATCTGCTGTTTTCCCCCCAAAAACATTTCCAAGGATTGTGGTGCCTAGACTAGTGTTTAGCAATGGTACCGGGACTGTGGAAGGTGCTCAGAAACGCCAGTCCTCCACCTTCTTGAGTAATACATTTGTATAGTTTTCAAGCAGCCTTGGTGACCTTGGGGCAGCTTGGGGGGTGAGCAGCAGGAGTCTGGGAACCTGCCACAGTATAGGTGTCCGTGATCACACTGGTCCCTAGAACCAGCATGAATGGCAGCTGAGGCAGGGGTTGTGTGCTCTTTGCTAAGTGGGAAAACCAGGTCTCAGAGCAGTTGTGATGGCCCAGGAGATGTCACCTGGCTGGTGAGCGGAGGGGCTGGGGGTTCCAAAGTTCTCATCCGTATCTGCTCTGTGGATATGGCCAGGGGTCTCAAGTTTTAGGAGATAACTGACGTGTGTTCTATGGAACACCGGTCCTGTGAAATGCCCTGTTCAACACGGTTTGGTGATTTTCTGGTGGCTCAGACCCCAAATTTAGGAGTATCCTTAATTGTCTCACCAGCAGGTATTTATTGGGTATCTACCACATGCCAGCCATACCCAAACCCCTGTCCCCCAGAGCAGGTATTTAGTGGGGGAAACACCAAATACAAGCTACAGAGTGTGGCAGTTCATAGATGGAGACCAAGGGTGGAAGTGAGCAGGGGAGTGGCAGTGCTGGGAGGTGGTGTCTTTAAAATAGGATGGGTGGGAAATTAAGCATGGACTTGAAGGTGGAGTCAAAGGAAACAGGCTAGCGCAGAGGCCCGAGGCAGGAGTGCAAATGAAACAAGTTGGTGGGCGTGGCTGAAGTGGCTTGCACAAGGGGCGGAAGACATTGAGGTGGGGTGGGCTAGGTCGTGGAGAACCATGCAGGCCATCGTTTGGGCTTTACTCTTGAAGTGGAGATTTTGGAGGGCTGTGGGCATAGGCGCAGCATGAGTGTGATCAAACTGGCTTTACAGCCTCTGGCTCGGCTGGTGGAGACAGCAGGAGAAACCAGAGGCAGGAAGCCGCAGGAGTCGTCTGGTTTTGTTTGTTTTAAGCTAATGGTCTTACTGGACCAGAGGGGTCTTGGAAAGGAACTGAAACCCTTAGTGTGAGGTGCTGCTCTGTGCCACAGCTGGCATAGACACAGGGCACTGGCCTGATGGTGACAAAATGCCCCTGCCCCCGGCCATTGTCACTGTCTTATAGCACAGAGGCATAGCACTTTGCCCCACGGTCCCTGGTCTTTAAGACACAGCTGGACTGGAGTGTGAGGCTGGGCTCCCTGCCTTTCTGGTCTGTTCCCTGCCTCCTGGACAGAGGTGGGCTGGGCCTGGGACTCATGACCCTGCTGCATCTGACCGGCTGACCCAGTGTCCTAGAAAGAACCATTCTTGTCCCAGGTGCATGTAATTTATTAACGGAGCTTTGACAATCACAAGTTCCAGCAAGTCAGGGGTGGGGGCTGCAGGGTGGCCTCTTGCCCTGTAACCACAGTCACCAAATATGCCTCGCCATCTGTGAGGGGCTTTCCTGGAACGACAGATTCCCTTCTGGCACTGTCCAGCCAGCTGGAGTCACAGGCCTCAGCCTGGGCCAAATGAGCGTTTTAGGGAGAGGGACAATCCACGTTCTTTCTAAAAGAAAGGTCGTTTGGGGACAGGCCTGAGAGCAATTTCTTGGCTACACAGACTGGGGGCTGTCAGGGTTGAAGCCACATGGGCTCCTGTGTCATGTTGAAGGAGCCCCTGTCGGCCTCTCAGCAGCCTGCATGGGCTTTACTGGGTCGGCCTTAGGCTCAAACAGGAAATTCCTGGGTCTCAGGTGGAGAGCGCCGCGCCATCTTGCCTGTTCTCCAGGGCCCTCACAGGACACAGCAGGTGCAGGACATAGGCCCGTGCTGCTGCAGCTGCTGCTGGAGCTGCTCCTTCTCCATCGTCAGCACCTTCACCCTCTCTTCCAGCTTGCCCAGCTCCACCAGCCACCTCTGAGGGGACATGGGAAAAGCATGTGGCCAAGCCCACCTGGTCTTGGGCCTGTCCATCCTCCCCTCCACCTGAGGCTGAACTGAGGGAGGAAGGGAAAGCCCGGGAGCCTGGGAGCTTTCTCAGCTAGGGGGAAAGTCAGGCCCCTTGGCCTGCTGCCACCTTCAACCAGGAAGGTTGAAAGCTGCCGGCTGCCAACCCTGGAAGGGAGCCTCCTGCATGCTGGGCAGGCCATGTCCCTCCTCACTGTTGGCCCTCTTGTCCTCCATTCTCCGTTTCCCTCTTGAAAAAGCTCTTCCTTGGGACTGTGTCCTGCCCCCTCCACCCCTTTAGGGCCTCCCCTAAAATGCAGTGTATAGTCCTTGGGGTTTTCTGGTGATGGCTCAACATTCTAATCTCCTTGCTGTCTCAGCCACTCACGATCGAGTGCGTTAACTGCCCAAGTAGAGGGTGAGGGGTTTCAGGCACCTCTGAAAAGGGGATACTGCATAGTTTTTTTTTTTTTTTTTGAGGTGTCTTGCTCTGTCGCTCACGCTGGAGTGCAGTGGTGCAATCTCGGCTCACTGCAATCTCTGCCCCCGGGATTCGATCGATTCTCCAGACTCAGCCTCCCGAGTATTTGGGACTACAGTTGCCTGCCACCATGCCCGGCTAAGTTTTATATTTTTAGTACAGATGAGGTTTCATCATATTGGCCAGGCTGGTCTCGAACTCCTGACCTTGTGATCTGTTCACCTCGTCTTCCCAAAGTGCTGGGATTACAGGCGTGAGCCACTGAGCCCAGCCACTGCATAGATTTTTAAAAAGAGAGGGCCTGGGCCTCTTCCCACCAGCTGCCTACCGAGTGGAATACGGAATGTGGTGTGATTTTAATCCAACCCCTTGGGTTAAACGGGGTGATGCAGGGCCCAGGGAACCATGGTGGCTTGCCCTGGGCTGCTCTGTGTGACTGAAGAGGCCTGGGGTCAGCTTCGCCCCACCCCACCCACTGGCCTTAGCTTCCGTACCTGCCTGCACCACTCCTGGATGGCGCTGGCGGACAACGGGCCCTGGATGCTCCCGTCGCGCCGCAGAAACACCTCCCCCTGGTCTGTCTGGTAGAGTTGCGGCTGGCTCTGGGCCTTGGGGGTGTGCACGGTCAGGCGGATCACCTTGGAAGGGGCAACAGCAGCTCTGGAGGCGCCACCCTTCACAGTCGGCAGCCGCCATCCTGCCAGGCCGCTCAGCATTGCTCACTGCTTCCTTAGGGCAGGCCGGCAGGGCTGGCACAAGGGCCATTACAAGCCTCTTCTCCTGTGGCCCCCAGTCCCGTCCCTGCCCCAGCACTGCCTGGCAGGAGCGCAGGCCATCGTCTTATTGAGTGATGACAGATGACAGGCCTGGAGGCCCTCCTGTCCTGCAGGCTCACCTTGAGGGGGACGTTGGTCTCCGAGGTGCTGATCACAGGGACGAAGGTCAGAGTGTAGGCATCGGGAAAGACCTGAGGCTTGAAGCCCTGCAGGATGGAGTCCACCAGCAGGCGTGCGCGGTCCTCGTCACGGTGGCTGCAGTGGATGCCCCGCACCAGGCCGCTGTCCTCCACTCCCACGAGCAGGCTGCCGCCCTCGCTGTTGAGGAAGGCGCACACATAGCGCCGCACGTGGTGCTTGAAGGCCAGGCTCAGGTACTCACCGCTGCCCCGCTTGAACTCCATGTTGCGAGTCTCGCTGCCCAGGAAGGCACCCTGGAAGAGCTGGTCCTTGCCCACGATCTCGTGGTGCACAATGGCACTGTCGGAGCACACGCCACTGGGCCGGCCCTGGCAGCTCTGCAGCTGCCAGGCTTGGGGCCTATCAGGCAGCGTGTGCGTAGGCCAGGCGGGCAGCGGGACGCCAGAGCCTGGGTTGGGGCCGGGGCTCAGGCCACTGTCCTCCTCCTCCTCCTCCTAGGGTGGGAGTCAAGAATGAGTGTATGAGTGTAAGGGTCAAGCCAGAAAATGGGAGCCCTGACCTTGAGAAGGACTGCAAGAACCCCCCATCCGGCCCCTGCTGCGGCCTGACTCTCATGGGCATCCTGATGCCGCTCACCAGGCTGAGGGGCCTGGTTCTGCCCACCCTCCTGCAGCCGAGGCAGGAAACCCTGCTGGATCGAGGGTTCCTGTCAGTGCTCCTTTCCCTGCCGAGCTGGGCCCTTCCCAGGTGAGCTGTGGGATGCCTGGTGGGGAAGAAGAGATTTCTGCTTCCCAGGGCTGGGTGCTGGGACACGTGTGGGCCCATTTTTTCTTACTTGGGTTGCAGACAGGCCCCTGAGGCCCAGAGCCAGATCATTCCAGCAGGTATCTCAGCACCCTGTGACAGAGCTGCAGGACCCTGAATGGAGAGGGACTCCCAGGTACCCACCCACTTCCTGATTTCAAACCTTTGCCCACTACTTTCTGGGCTATTGACAAGTCCACCCTAATCTCCACTTCCTTCTGCGCCTCCGGAATCACCTTTCGTGGTTTGGGCTCTGCTCGAGGGCTCGGTGTGAGCCTCCTTGGGGCCACTTCCTAGTTTGGGCCTCCCCAGCCAGCCCCTCTCTGACCTCCCTGCTTCCAGGCTCACCCTTTCCTGTCAACCCTCCTTAGTGACACTAACTTCAAGGCAGATTGTTACTCCTCACAATCCTTTCATGAGCATGGGCTGGGGTGAGGAGACCAGGGCACCTCCCTACCAGCCCTGCAGCTCCCCAGAGAAGTTGAATTGATCAGTCTTAGAAACAGGATAAACGTCATACAAATGTGAAATTGAGTTGAAATGTAAGCCACAGAGCCTTTTAGTTCTGCAACAGTTTAAACACCATCATTTTCACACCAAAAGAAAAAGAAACCAAAATCACCTGTCTCGTGGAGTGACCTACCCTAACGTCCCATGTCCCACCCAGTAAAGCCAGCGGTTCAGCCTTGCCTTGGATAGTCTTGGTGACCTGGCCCCTACCCTACCTTCTGGCCCAACTTCCTTCCTTAGCACCCCCTGCAGCCTTTAGTGGGAGCTCCAGGGCCACCAAATGGTTTGCCCTTCTGCAGACACCACAGTCCCTCTAAGCCCCCAGGTTCCTCTGCATATTCTGTGTCCCTGGCCTGGAATGTCCTCCCCCACAAGTTCCTGTCCAACGCCCTAAGTCCCAGCCTGGATTTCACTTCCCCTGTGAATCTGTCCCCAGAGAGCAGGGCAAACCTTCCTGTGTCCTCTCACAGCTCTGAGCGCAGCCACCTTGCAGCTCTGTGGGTGGCTGTCCGGCTCTGGCCACAGATGCAGGGCTCCTTGGGGCCTGGCTGGGCCTCTCATCCCTGCCTTAACTCCTGGCACAGAGGGGGTGTTCATGATTGTTAATTGAACAAATGACTTGGGCCAAGGGGAAAATTAGGGCCCCTGTGTCTTCTAGGGTCTCCCAGGCCCAGAGGCTGGAATGTAAAAGGACCCAAGGAGGAGGCCCCCTCGTGGCCTTTCTTCACACAAGCATCAGGCTTGAGGCAAACTCAGTGTCTTTTCCAGAGAAAGCTGGCAGTACCAGTGACAAGCCATGGTCATTTGAGTAGCAGCCCCCAAGTTTGCAGATTTGTCCCTGCTTCCCCAGAGACACCCCTCCGTCCCCACTCTGCAGGCCACTCCCACCCAGAGTCTCTCCCTTGGGGTGAGGCTTTGGAGCTTGCTTGGGAGAAGTCCCACTTACCTCTCTGTGGCTTAAGGGCCCTTGGGCCTCACTCAATAGCAGCTCCTTCCCACGGGCTGCCAGCTCCTTGAGGATTAGGTGCTCCTCCAGGGCTGTCTGCAGGCGCCAGGGGAGGGAGGCGAGGGTGTCCCTGCGGACAGTCACCTGCACCAGCGCATAGGCCTTCCGCGGCCGCCTCACCACCTCGATGTGCTCCCGCGCCACCGGCATCTCCAGCCGCTCCAGGGTGTCTCGCAGCAGGCAGGCGAGCACTGGCACTGAGAACTGGGGGTTCAGATGGCCTACATAGAGAGTGTGTGCCGAGGGAGCCTCCTCGAGGTCAGAGTACTCGGTCAGGGACTGCTCTGTGGGGAGCTCTGGCAGGGACTCCTCACCCCAGGACTCCGTGAAGGGCTCTGACACCTGTGTTTGCACCGATCTCTTCATGGGGGTCATGGGAAGGCTCTCCCTGGGAAGGGGTTCCAGGATTCCTCACTGCTGGCTGCTTCTCCAAGGGTCTGTGTTTTCAGTGTGGCTTAAGGGCTCCCAGAGGACTCAGGGAGTGTCCCGGCTCCTGGGAGGCACAAAGATTGGCAGAGGCTGGGCAGGGCCAGAGAGAGGGACGGCAGAGGGCAAGCAGGAAAGGGCCTGCCACCCACCTGAGGCCTAGGATGGGAAAGCGGAGTCAGATGGACTGAGCAAGACACAGGGCCTGTGGGAAGACAGGGGATCTGCCCAAAGAGTGGCAGAAGGGACCGGCACTCAGGTCTCTGAGAGCTCCACGATTTCAGTGGCCCCAGGGGTCCTGTCTTCCTTCCCCAACCCACTGGCTAGGGGCCTCCTAGGTACCCTCAGGGTTTCCTGCCTACCGGAAGGTCACTCCTGCCTCCAGGCAACAGAGAAACCCTTTAAAAAGGGCCTCCTGGAGAAGAGGCCTTAACCCAGGACTCTAAGGACTGGCTGGTGGCCCCACTGCAGCTTCTCTGCCTGCTCCAAAACCCAATGTGAGACCATCGGGGGCTCTGAAACTAGGCAGCGCTGGGGCAGAGGCTTTTAGAGCAGACGATCTCATGCTTTTTGGCACACTGATGAAAGCTATGGCCTCTCAGAAAAATGGCCTTTACATATAAACACTTAAGGGGGCTCCTAGACCGTAAGAACTCCTAGTCTAGAATGAGTCCTCCATTTTTGGTCCAGAGAGCAGAGGTCAAGAGGAGCAGAACGAGGGTTGGAGTTGGGGCCCTGGCACTCCCCACCCCAAGTCCAGGGAGCCTCTGTCCTGAGCTGTGCACATATGTGCACACACCAGCCCCTCTACTGCTCCCCACACACCCAGCCTGCATCTTCTCAGATGGAATCCTTGAGGCTGTCGGCCTGGCGGCATTCAGGTCAAACAGGAAGAGGAGGAGAGGAGAGGCCTATGACCTTCATGTCCTGGTGGCTCCTGTGGGAGCATGGGAGGTGCCTGCCCTGAGCTCCCATAGCCCCCCGACCCCGGCCGGTAGCTCTCAGGGCACTTGGAGGCCTGGCACAGGGACAGCCAGAACCAGGCTTATAGGAAGTGGGCGGGGCCTGCACAGCTACCTTTGTGATCTCATGAGGCTCAACAATGCCTTCTTGGCCAGACACAGGCAGGCCGGGTGTGGGAAATCCAACAGGAAAACTCAGCTCCCTGTGGGCCCCGCCACACACTGGAAGCAGACCCAGTGGCCCACCCACCATGCAGTTTGGCTGTGGGACTCCCTTCCCCTGACAGCTTCCAGAATTCGAGAGCTGAAGACACTTCCCCCGCTCTGTGATGTCTCTGCAGGCCCCAGTTCCCATGCAGGTCATCTGTTGCCACCTCTTTCAGCGCTGCTGCCTAAAGCCTCCACCTCCCTCTTCAGTCACCAATCCCAGGCTCTACTGAGTGCCGACAGGGCCCTGCTGCTCCCAAGATGGAGCAGGAGGCACATGGTGGGCTCCAGGGTTCCCCCTGAGGCCAGGCCCTTCTCTGTGCTGGAAGCAGGCTGCTGTCCAGAAGAGCCCTGAAAAACAGGTCAGGCACAGCTATCTCTTTGGAAAGATGAGGTTGTTACCTGCTGTTTGAGAAACCAAGACATGGGGGACACACCAGCCTTTATCAGCACAGGACTGACCAGTGCTCATCATTCTGCAGAAGGCCAGCAGCACTTGCCCACACTGCTTCTGGAAGCCCCGACTGGGGGCAGTAAGGACGGGGCCAGAGTTAGATGCTTCAACTAAGGAAGCTGTTTGACAGCATAGAGAAGTTGCCTTCCTTGCAAGCAGCCTTTCTGAAGATGTTACCAAATGTTTGTTTCCTAGGCAGTAGTTTGGGTAGGGCACTCAAGAAGAGAGGCTATGGTGTGCAGGGAAGAGAGGGGCACAGGCCTCAACTGGTGGCAGTGTGAGGCTCTGGGGGGAGTGCGTTCGGTGCCCTCTCCTTGCCTGCCCAGGCAGCAGCCAGGTTGGACTCGGCTCTGTGTCCACAGCTCTTAGGGTTAGAGAATGAAGGCTCCAAGCTCCCCCTGCCTCACCCCCTCTCCCTCAAGCCTTTCTTGCCTCTGTCATCCATGAGGTGCCCTCACAGCAACTGAGGCTATAGCTGTTTTGAGATGGCCAACTCAAGTCGTGTTGAACTGTGCAGACACAGCTGGCCAGGAGAAGCACCTTGACAGACGAAACACCCGAACAGGACCAGAGGCGTTCTCCCTACTTACCTAGAGGCCTTGCTATTGGGTGGCTGATCTGTATGACATTTCCCAAATTGACTCCAGTGCAGAAACTTTGCCCACTCTTCCTGGCAGTCTCTTTAAGCCACTGCATCACGTATTTCTCTGGTGCCTTTAACAGCCTTCTGTGAGCTGAATATCAGTTCTACTTCGTTTTGGAGATGGGGGTAAAAATTGTCTTACATGGTAAGCACTAAATACATTTATGAACCATCTTTTAAATACATAAATATAAGATAACGGTTATTTACGGTGTCTCTGGCTCTCTAGTATTGGGTCATAGTATTAGAAAGTATAGGTCCTCTGCAGGCAGCTCGCGGTGGTGGGTTCCGAGTTGGGGGATAAGCAACCCTGCTAACCCTCTTGCTGGACGTCTGTGACCTCACTGACAAACCTCATCTTGAACTGAAGGAAAAAACCCTAGAATTTAAGCCTCTTTATGAATGTGAGGTGGGGCCCAAAGATGAGGGGCAGAGAGCTGAGCTGCTGTGGATGGCCTCTTTTCATGTTATCTGGACAGTGTCCACTGGGTGGCCCACATGGCCACAATCCCTGAACCCACAGCAGGGATGCCATCCCCTCTTCACAGCTCCCACGTCACAGTCTGTGCTGTTTGCCCAGGAAGGTTAGTCAAGGGGCAGAGGGATAGGGAAGAGGAATAAGCCCAGGCAGGTGCAGGAGAGAACAATGATGATCAAGAAGAGTGAACTCTGGGGAGGGGAGTTACAGACACAGCTTTCCAGGTCCTGGGACCCACATCACTCCAGCCTCCCTTGGTCTCAAGCCCTCCCCTGGTGTGCTGCCTTCAGCCTGAGGATCTCCACCTGGCTTCTGACAGGGCCCAGCTCCAGCTGCTGCAGAGTATCTCTGACTTGAGTGGCTCCATCCTAGTGTCTGTGCCCTGGGTACTGTGGGCTGCCAGCCTCTGTGGGCACCTGCAGTCGCTTTGGCACTGCACAGAGCCACAGTTCTGATGCTCGGCTGTGACTGCCCCTGGGCTGGAGGCTGGAAGCTGTGGCGCTGCCCTGACGGACTGTGGTGGCAAGACCATGTCCAGTGACTCAGGGTACTTAGGTAAAGAGGCTGCAAAAAGCTGAGGGCTCCTGAGGGAAGAAGTGTCGGGACCCTTTTCTCAAGGTTTCCCACACTTTTCGTTTTGGTGGTAAAGAAGGAGGGATTCACCTTCAGGCTCTTCCCAACGAGGGAGTATAGCACCAGTGTGAGGGCAGGAACAGTGTGTCCATTTGGCCCACCAGTGCTACACCTCAGGGATCGATCTTAGGGAGTCCCACAAGACCCTCACAAAGAGTCTCTGGACAATGTGGTCCACGGCCAGGAGGCAGGGAGGAGCCATGGCTGGGGAGGGCAGAGTGTTCCAGAAAAATGCCCTGCCCTCCCATTGATTCGGCCTTAGGTGGGGCCTAGATCTCTGTTACCTCCCCAAGTGTTTGGTGTTTCCCTTCTGAGCTCAGCAAAGTCACTATCATCTCCCTGTCCGAGCATTGAGGGTGAGCACGTGAAGCTGGTGCCACGAGACCTCTGTCACCTGTGCCTTTCCACTTGGTGGGCTACTGGACTGCTGGGGTGCATGGAACGGTCTCTCCAACACTGCAGCATGTGTGCGCTGGGTCTGAGGACAGTGTGAGTGCTGCTAATGATTCTGGGTCACTATTAGAAAGCCTGGCTTTTGAAACAATTTCCAAAGTTGAGGGGTTTTTTTTTTCCTCCTTAAACAACATTTAGTTTTGACCCCAGAGGTTATGGCAGTGTGAATAATCCTCTCCCTTCCTGCAGAACCTGACATCTGGTTACCTTTCTAGTTTTGTCTGGAAACCAGATAAAAGTATGTCAGCTGTTTCAGTGCAGCACTACTTATGGTAAACATGATTCCTAATTGTAAATTATCTGCACTTGGAGTTTTCTGTGTGAACTATAAACACTTGTTAAAAAGCCATAATGTTGGGCTTCCTATGTGTAATGACTCAGTTGGGTATGTGGCTTATGGGGTCCCTGAAAGCTGTGCCTCTTGAGTTGTTCAAAGAGATATGAGCACCTTTGGGGAATGATGCCTCTAAGCCACAGTGAACCAACCCCCTTCTCCCTCATGTGTCTCATTCCTTTGTACCTGAGCTGTCACCTGGGCAACCAAGGAGAATAACTCCCATGACCGATAGATGACTGGAGGCTCTGCGAGGACTGCCCTCCTCCCCTGAAGAGGGCTGCTTCCTGCTGCCCTGCAGCCAGGCCATTTCCTGTCTGACAGCCTTCAAAGTAAATGCCACGCCCAGCGTAGCCTGCAGGGATCTTGAGTCTGAATGGTTGCTGGATCTGAGACAAAGGCCCACGGGAGGGAGTTGCAGGCAGTAGGACGTGTTGTACCCCTTAACAGCTATGGAATTAACCTCTGTAAGCACCTGTGAGATGGGGAAACAGTAGTTACACTATAGGACTGTTCTGAGTTTTCAATGGGATACTGTACAAAAACAACTCAGCACAGTGAGTTCTCAAAACAGTGCTCAGTAGGAAGTTATATACTCTTGACGAAAAGAGGGTAAGGTGGGGTGGGTGCCCAGCTTTGCAGCATGTCTGGCCTGCCTACATATGCCAGTGTCACCTTCAGTCCCTGTGTCTTGAGGCTCACATCTAGAAGTTTGTTGTTAGGGTTCAGCAAGGTACTTATTGGGAATACCCTGAATGAATAGCACAGTCTACAAGATCCCAGTGTTGGCTGGGTGTGGTGGCTCAGGCCTGTAATCCCAGCACTTTGCGAAGCCAAGGCAGGCGGATCACTTGAGGTCAGGAGTTCGAGACCAGCCTGGCCAACATGGTGAAACTCTACTAAAAATACAAAAAATTAGCTGGGCGTGGTGGCGGGCGCCTGTAGTCCCAGCTACTTGGGAGGCTGAGGCAGGAGAATCGCTTGAACTCGGGAGGTGGAGGTTGCAGGGAGCCAAGATCGTGCCACTGCACTCCAGCCTCAGCGACAGAGTGACACTGTCTTAAAAAAAAAAAAAAAAAAAAAAAGGCCGGGCGTGGTGGCTCAAGCCTGTAATCCCAGCACTTTGGGAGGCCGAGACGGGCGGAACACCAGATCAGGAGATTGAGACCATCCTGGATAACATGGTGAAACCCCGTCTCTACTAAAAAATACAAAATCTAGCCGGGCGAGGTGGTGGGCACCTGTAGTCCCAGCTACTCGGGAGGCTGAGGCAGGAGAATGGCGTGAACCTGGGAGGCGGAGCTTGCAGTGAGCTGAGATCCGGCCACTGCACTCCAGCCTGGACGACGGAGCGAGACTCAAAAAAAGGCTGGACGCGGTGGCTCACAGCTGTCATCCCAGCACTTTGGAAGGCCGAGGCGGGCGGATCACGAGGTCAGGCGATTGAGACCATCCTGGCTAACACAGTGAAACCCCGTCTCTACTAAAAACACAAAAAATTAGCCGGGCGTGGTGGCGGGTGCCTGTAGTCCCAGCTACTCGGGAGGCTGAGGCAGGAGAATGGCATGAACCCAGGAGGCAGAGCTTGCAGTGAACCGAGATCGCGCCACTGCACTCCAGCCTGGGAGACAGCGAGACTCCATCTCAGACAAAAAAAGAAAAGAAAAGAAAATCCCAGTGTCAAGGAGTTGGTAGAAAATGAGGGCCTCAACTTGTTCGGCTGCCTTGACCCTGGCTGTTTTACAGTGACCATGGTTAGAACCTCACAGTGGCCAAGTAGAAAAGATACTGTAAGTTAGTTATGATATTGGAACTTGTCACTGGTGAAAGCTGGAAGGGCCTTCACAAGTCTCCTCATGCAAATACCTCATAGCCAGATGGGCCCAGAGAAAGGAAA